CGTAGGGTAGCGAAAGTACGACGAATCCGACGTACTTTTTCAGGTCAACAGACCCTTCTTCAGGTGCGTGGGCAATTATTCGACATGCATAGTTGATTCCAGTAGGTAGCAAATCCAGCTGATACTTCGTAAGGCGGTATGCTGTTACCAGACAATGCGGCTGAAGTGGACAGCGGAGTCCGGCGATTGTGCTGCCAACGGATGGCTTGAGTTGTAATGGGTAACGTCAGTAGTCCAGTGTGTATGTGGGAGCCTGAGGACCCATGTAGGTAGAGCAAGAAGAAAAGTCTTGGATCAACATCGTTACGGGGAATCTGTTGTCGCCCATGTCCCGAGAAATGACAGTCGGGACAAGAGGTTACCCGTGAACAGAGGTCATAATCCACAAGTACATCAGATCACTTACAGCTGTGTTGCGGGATATGTATAGGCAAGTTTGCCGAAGATCGCAAAGCATGAAGACGGAGGCGTGGTATGATCAAACAAGCTTTGAAGCAAAAGCACATACGGGTCTTGGATAGAAGAGCATGTCAGCAGCTAAGCTAGATCAGGTTAGGGTTGTTGGATATCCTGGATGACCTCTCGCAGGTGATAGTGGCTATGTCTGCGGAGTTGCCTATGAGTCCGGACCTATTATTCCAAGACGAGGATCTTCGGGTTTTGAAGCTATCATGTAAGGTTACATCCTCCTACCGAGGCATATCTCGACATCACAAGGCGGATGAATGAAGTTCCATCAGCACGATACATACACGGCCAGTGAAGCAGAAGCGTTGCTTGAGACGCAATGGACGCTCTGAAGCTGCACAGGAACACGAGACCATGGAGAGAGCAGGCAATCGCTGCTCACCGGCTCACCTGCCTTGACATTCACGCCACGAGTGCCGGGTCGGAGACTAAAGTCTACGGCGACATACCATATGGAGCAACGGGGAAGGCGCAGGGCGTCCAGCCATGCTTGCGCGCCAATGTGAGGTAAGACATCGGAACGTTGTCTGTGGCCTATTCACAGGGACGTGCACTGCAACACATGCTGTACACACATACGTATACATGCAAGGAGACGGGCTAAGGTCTGGAGCTCAACTTTGCCAGCGGCGCTCACGTTGGTTGGACGCCAAGACTGCAGCTTGTCGTCTTTGGCGTTGCGCGCGCCCGACTGTTATGGGAGCTGTTGTATCCCGCCTCAATTGGGACATATTTCCGCGCTTCTACTCGCGCTGATCAGTGGGATACGGCATGCGTGAGCCGATCGGACGACTCGTACAACCTCGCAAGCACTGGCAACGGTGCCTACCTCTGGTCTGCATTCGATCCTGCGACAACATGACACCGATATCTTCCCATCCTGCACATGAGAGCCGCAAGCTAATGCCAATTCATTTGCCATGACAAGCATAAGGGACCGGTGAACCACATGACGGCCGCTACCTTGCACCGGCTTGCATGTGCTGACTCGGACCAAAAACGAAACTCTGCACAAGCAGATCATCCACTTGCATCGATGCTGCAAGCTTACCTTGACATCGGTCTAGAAGCTACTGGTGGAACTGTCACTCCGCACGCAATTGATGGCATCTGTTCGGGACCTCACCGGCGTCCTCAGGATCTGGTATGTCTCCTTTGGCAGTTAGCGATCCATCCTGAGCTTCAAAGGCGAAGAGCTCACACCCGGCGAGAACAAGCTGTAGAGTCATTTGTGTTCGTGGTACTAAAGGAATCAACAAAACATACAAAGATTCGAAGGGAGATGGGGGAAATTCTGGGGTTTCCGACTGACGTATGTGTGTATGACGGTGGATCCGTCGACATCGGGTATATTCAGCTGCGCTCAGCAGTGATCGGTGACCACAGATTGCTGGTAGCTTTCAGCCACAGCAAGGAAGACTGTGGCGCAGGCGAGAAGCATTCCAGGCTTGTCAACCACACCGGATTTAACCGTGCATGCATACCTCGTGTTGCCGGAATGAAACGATTACTAACGAAGCTTATACCTTGTGCTACAGGAGCCTAATTGACACCGGGTGTAGCCATGCCCGACCCACTTACGTTGAAATGTGTGTTGATTTCGACCATGACTTAAAATCGGGAATCTATCAGACTTGCGCTGAGCAAAGACTCTATGGACACGGACCTGCAGTCTTGTGAATGAGCAACGCTCGTTGATAACGACACTTCGAGTTTTCATTTTCGACCTCCCGTCTTCATTGGCTCTCGCCAGCAATACATTGTGCCGCCCTCGCTGAGACACCGTGAATAATCCGACGACATGCAACACTATGGAGTTTTACTTACGCGACCCCCCTGCAACGTTTCATTGCCACCCGACAGCGGGCCTGGCGGGATGGACTGATCTACAACATACTGTGACAAATTAGTGGTTCACGAAATTGCTCTCTCACAGATCTGCCAGCGTCGCGGCTGTTCATCTCAGTGACCCTTGACGTAGACAATGGACCATATCATGACCACAATTACAGGCCCGTAACTGTCCAATCTACCACCGCAAGATTTGATGCATGGTTAATTCGGGCGAATCGACTGCAATACGACAAATCCCCGGTACTTACCGTGTCCAATGGTATGACGAGCATCGCCATTGGTCCCGAACGCGAAGCCGATTGGGACAGTGCTTCTTCCCATTCAATCGCGGAGAAATTCACTCCCACACATGAGACTTGATGTTCGTGCTGCGACATCGTTCAATCTGCGTACGATAGCCTTGATATTGACGAAATCAAACTCAGTCAGTAGCGACAACATAGGCAGTATGCATGCAGAGGAGTAAGACGGCGCCCGGCGAGATAAAACGACATTCGTGGGGATCCGCACTCAGCCTTCCGGAGTTTCGTTGTCGCGAATACTGGAGATGCAGGTTGGTCTCTTTGATGCGGTTGCTCGTCTGACTGGAAGAATGGTGACGGTAGTCAGCGTCCAGGCTGAAGGTAGAGCCGGAGAAGCTGAAACAAACCATGGTGACGAACTCAAAATTGGATGCGGAGGCTGAAGAGAGCAACGCAGCACGCGTGCGGAGCAAAGGTGGCCGCAAGATGGAAGCTTGACAAATTGATGCGAAAGGAGCAATCGCTGAAGCGCGTGCACCGTTGAGCGTGTGTGCGAACAAAGACCACGTTCCGAGCATCCTGCATCATGGGCAGCCCAAACGCCCGTAGGTATCAAGAACCCCTAGCGTGCAGATAGATACTTCGGTCGACGGCTCAAAGGGGAACACGGGCCGCGACGAGTAATGGGAGAGGGGACTTTCCACTGAAGATAACCATTGGGATGACGTCGTTGCACGCGAATGGTTCAGCAAGAATCTCAATGCTGAGAATGCTTCGTCCGCGACAGGGAAGCTCGACTTGCTCTATGCGGCTGACACCTACAACAAGTCATGAGAATCAGCCGAAGAACAAATGAACAATCAGGCTTACGTCTTCTGAGTAAGCTGTGGCGCCTCCAGGAGGACCGGGATATGTGCTGTCACGGTACCGCAGAACCTGTGGACGAGCTGCGCGGTGTCAACCCCTGGTAGACGAGAGAAATAGCGACCAGCATGAAGTTCCTGAAACCAGGTCCAACACCCAATTCCTGGATTTGAAATAAGGGTACGACACGGATTCCGGTGGGGTGCCGGCACCTCGATGCAGCCTGGAACTGCCGTGCGGGTCGCAAACACCATCTGCTTGTCAGCTGTCACTGTAACACTGCCATATGAGAGGTGTCCATGTCGTCTCATGGCGAGCAGTGCCGAAAAAATCAAGAATTCAGCATACGAACAATCTGATGCCCTTGGATACGATTCACATGCTTACTGCTGCGACCGAGCCAAACGTGAGCTTTTGATACTTCACCCAGAATTACCATCGTTGAAGTTGGTGCAATGGCAGCTGTACTGATCTACTGGAACAGTAAGGTTTGTGGGAACGGGATATACGAGACGTCATTGACGAGACCACTGTTCATCTTCTGAAAACACCTTGAAATGTCTGAATATCCCGATCGCTGTCTGAACGAGCTGATACGAAGTGGCGCTCAGACACGATGTGGCCATAGGTGTGAGTAGCGCAGCTGTAGACCCCACCCGACGTCATTCAGGTCTAGGCACCATGTCCAACGGCGCCCAGATGGTGAGTTGAGCGAGCTGGAGAGGACGATCATCCAATGGACCAATCCTACGTGAGCGGAGCGGAGATTCAGCGATTTATTGTGCGATTCGATACCATGAGAGTCATAGCTTAGCTGCTTACCTCGCAACTATGGGGATCGTCTCCCAGTCAGGGACCGTCTCGGTGTGTATGTGAAGCCGAGCCATGCCGGAAGCATCCTTCGCATTCAGTCAAATGCAAAACTCCGTTGTATGCACACCCGCTGTCCCATGTTACGTCCAACAGGTACGCACTCACGATCTCCGCCTCCGCCGTCTGTTGAGCTTCAGCCCCAATTTGAGATGTCGCATAGCTCCTGGAAGTATCAATTTCTCGGGCTGCTGCTCAGAACAGTGTAGATAGTCGGGAAAGTGAGTGATTATAAGGACGGACATCATGATGGTAGAGGGGACAAAAGAGGACGCGTCGGGGACGCGAGCGTGACGGAGTTGGCATCACATGACCGAGTCACAATTGGGAGCATCGCTGCGGCACTAAGAGGTTCGTCTGCCGTCGACATCGATCCCCTCTTCCCCAGTTCGCTCTTTGATGGTTCTCTGATTGCACATAATGGTGAACACAAGGGGCTCGAGCAGTAGACGAACGAGATCCGCCTCCAAGGACACTAGGAAGGAGCCCCGTCCCGATCCCAAGCCCTCTCGCCGCAAGTCTGCACAGGCCAAAACCACGGACAAAGGTACGTTTTGATCGGTATATGCTTGATCACGCGTGAGATTTATGCATGTGGAAGCCCGGAGGACAAAGAGCGTTGGAGCGAGAGCTACGAAACCACCCGGGCGCGCTACTTCAAGTCAGGGTTCTGTACTTTCGAGCCCCCCTCGCACGCAGTCCATGGCTTCGTCTTCCACTGCAACGCGTACTGAGCGAGAACGCAAGCCTGTTGAACCCACTTTGGCGTCCACCCGTACCCGTCGTGGATCTGTCATTGCTACGCCTGTGGCGGAACCCGCGAGCAATCGTAATGTCTCCTCCCGCACCCCTGCTTCACTGGCGCCATCCCGATCCGTGAGGAAAAGGAAGATCGAGGAAGTCGAGGTAGTTGTCTCGCCCCCGAAGCGCCAGCGAGGTAATCTCGGTGACGGAGAGGAGACCGACGTACGTTCCATCGTTGAGCGTCTACAGGCCGACGAACAGGCGCTTCGCAAACGCGAACTCGCGCTGAAGAAGCGAGAGGCTGCGGTGGAAAAAATGGAGAAGAAGGCGATGGAGAAGGCCGAGAAAGTCACGAAGATGTTGAAGCGCATCCGAAGTGAGAAGCTCGCAGTTCAAGCACAGGTGAAGGACATGCAGGGGCGAGTGGAAGCGCTCACCGCGATGATCACTACGCTGGAGAATAAGTGTCGTGAGAGGAATGCGGAGGTGATCACCTCGCCAGCTTCATCCCCAGGCGGATTAGATACGCATTGGGTGCTCACGCAGCTTGAAGATCAGTTCCAGTGCTCTATGTGCGTCGTATTTCGTCTCATCTGCTCATCTGCTCATTGAAATGCTGTCTTCGCGCTCTATTCTGACCAGCTGCTTCGAGGTCATGTACGTAGTTTTTGCAGGCCTTCGAGATCCAGTCTCACATTCAGTCTATTGTACCAACCTTATTCAGGGCCTGTCCCTACCAACTCAACCACGGGCTCTGCGGACATACTTTCTGCGCCCTTTGTCTCTTGCAGTGGTGTTTCGCTGCCGTGCACCGCGGCTGCGGATACTGGCATGACGCTCTAGAATGTCCACTCTGTCGTGCAGAGCTTCCGTACACACCCGATGTGACTCCGCGGCAGATGTGCACACTCCCTTTCGTTCCATGTCGCCTCGCAGACACCACTATCAAGATGCTGCTCGGGTTACTCAAGGATGCTGCCGAGGCCGATATCAATGGTCGTGGAGCTTGCTCTGGAGCGAATCCCAAGTTGGACGATAGGGTCGTAGCTTGGAGCCGGAACGGGAACTCAAGGGTAGAGTGGGAGAGTCGCGATGCGTGAGTGCTTAATTTGATCCTTGTGTATGGTGCATTGACTTGTATCCTTCCCTGATGCTTACTTGTTACAGGAGAGGTCGTGCTGAGATGACATTGCTGGTCAACAACTGGGCAAACCTTGGGGGCGAAGATTTTGTCGCTCTCAAGGATCGGCTTGACCTGCAATAGTGCCCTCGCCATGCTCACAGCTCCTTCTCTTTTCCGCCTCCCTCACTATTCTTCCTTCCATCGACGTGTCGCTTGTGACGGGAGTGCCTATCTCGGCTTCTGCTTGCAGCAATCGCACCCAAACTGTACATTATACCCCGCGCATACGGTAATACTCGCAAACACTCTCCGACTGTCCCTTCTATAGTCGCTTTCCATGTTGTCTTTGTCCCCTCTAGCGCAGCCTTCCCCTCTTCCCAATCACCTCATGATCCTGCAGATACGTACGCCACGAGCTCAGCATTCCCCTTCCCTCGAATTCCAGTCAATACTGTACATTACATCTAAATCCGCACCTCCGCCGTCGATCGCTTCCTCTTTCATTCAGTCGTCCGTATGTGCATTCGTTCTAGATTCATGTGACAGCCGCAGATATAGTTGGTAGTCCGTCTAGTCGCAGTATTCATCTTTAGATTGGAGGCTTCTATCTTCCCGCGTGTGCGGACGTCAACGGGCATGCCATTCGATATCGACTTGACGTCGACTTGGGTGCCCGTAAGTTACAGCCTCCGCACCGGCTTGCAGGGTCCGGGACCACCACAGCTCGGTGCCTGGTGCCTAATCCTCCTTCTCAATCAACCATTGACGGAGGCCTCGTTGCCACCCACAACCTTCTTCAGCCCTAGCAACTTAAGGTTCGTCCCTAGACATTCTCGAAATCCCATTCGCTGTCCCCGGCTTCCGAACTCGAGCTTTACCAGTTCGTCCTTGCGTCACTAGGCACTTCTTCCAACAACGCGATTGTGTCCTCCGAGAGCGCGGAGCCTTTGATCCCACTTACAGCCAACCAATCGGTGCCAATACAATACTTCGAAGGGCGTGTCAGTACTGGGCGCGCTATCGATGAATTGCCCGACATATCGATGATTCGTGTGGACTTAAGTGAGCACCAGCTGCGAACATGCCGAGCATCAAAGCGAGCACCTCGAGAGGCCGCATGACTCGTGTTCTAGCCTCCGACTTCCAAGCTGCTGCTGCACAACGGACCATACGTGTCTGTAACGTGGCTTTCCTGATTCCGAATTTGGTGAGTGTGCGCACAGGGCTTCTAGCTCAAGGGTTAATTGCACTCGAGTCGGCACGTCGTGCCATAGACTGATGGGTGCAATACCATCATCAGGACTCGTACCGCGTCGACCTATCGAACTTTGCAATCATTCCTGTGATCATCCAGGGAGCCGTACAGCAGGTCTCTGGCACTATGCACAACAGACGTGCCGGTCAGAATTCCACAATACCCATCAAGCCGCAGGCCAAGGCCTTGTGCTCCCGTTTAGATGTGCGTCCGATCGTGCGCTCCGCTGTTTTACCAGCAGGCACGGTCGCAATGTCCAGGCGCCGCGAGGAGTCGGTGGGCGATATCAGGGCGTGCAGCGGTGCGCTGAAAGCAAACAAGGTTGATCATTTGTCATGACATGCGCAACGTCGGCACAAGTCATGCGGTATTCCATGAGAAGACCAAGACACGACTCGAGCGCTGCTAGGGCCTGGACAAACATCGAGCGCACGACATATCAATTGTCAAGCCGTACATTGAATCCAAACATTCATCGATCCGGGCTGTCAGGCGGCACATCGATCCCAAGGGTGCGGACGTGGGGCCCTATCCAGCTCGCCGTACTCTTAATACCAAGAAAGGTACACTCAAAGGTAGAAGCAGCGCTCTTTGAGGGCGCGCATGCCGAAGAGTTCCTGCAGAAAAGGACCCGATATCAGTACACGTATAAACGATTCATCCGATATGTGGAGAAGACACCAAGTCAAAATCGTCCAGAAACCCAGCATAAGGCGAGCGAGCAACACACCACGCCAATCGGAATGAACATGACAACAACGAGAAGTGGGGTGAAGGAGAATACAATGGGCGGAGGAGCGATTTCTGGCATGATGCAGGAGCGGGCTGCACTGATTTTGACTTACCCAATCCGCGCCGGTGATCCAGAGGTCCGCGACACCATCCATCTTGCCGAGCACGGCGGCGCCCTTCCATGCAAGGACACGCGGATCTACGTCCTTGGGCGGAGGTATGATCTGCACTTTCTCCATGTTAGGCACCAGGGGTGTTGCTATTGCTTGTAGCCTGTCGTGTAGCACGAGGGTGAATGACAGGTCAGTCGATCGCGATGGTGGTATCCTGGAGTAATGTGGATGCAATGTTGATGTGCTCACCGGCTCTCGAGTGCGTGAGCCATTCCAGGCACTAGTGCAGTCCCGCCGATAACCAAGACAGCCTGAAGATATTTACGAATCTTCTCGTCTCCTCCCGCTGCTCGCGCACTATTGAAGATCGCGACATCCAAGGGAAGCTTGCTTGCCTCGAAAGCTACATCGATGTTGAACGCGCTGAAGGGCATTTGAGTGGGGATGTGTGGAGGAGGCGGATGCGTTGCAGTGACAGTTTGAGAAGCAGCCTTGTCGTCCAGTTGGTCGACGTCGATGACTTCCACGGCGGCGTCTGGCGCTGCAGACTTCTCCTTCTCCTTCGCCTTCTCCTTGTCCGTGTCTGGTCCTAGAAGCTTGTCGGTCGACTCGGGTTCAGATTTGACCTTTCTTTCGTCCTCCTTTTCACTTCCACCCTCGTCTTTCTCGGTCTCATCGTCCTTGCCTTCTTCGCCCTTCGAGTCTTTACCACGTGACTCCGCAACGGTCGCGTCACCCATCTCCACGTCTCCACCCTGGTCCTCCTTGGCTGCCTGAGCGGATTCTTCAGCAGACGGAGTAACGGGGGCCGTCGCTGAAGCTACGAGAAGTGCAACACGTGCAAATCAGACGTTGAATCAACCTGACCATCGACGCATATGCCAACTGTCGGGCTTACCACTCGCTCCTGGTTGGGGAGACACGGCAAGCGACTGACCTTCAGTTGTTGCTGGAGTCTGTAACGCAGGCGTGACAAGCAACGGTGCCTGTTCCAGGGTGGTGGGGGGAGGGACTACAGGGAATAGGTGTTGCGTGGATATCATCATCGCTTGAGTCTATAGACATCGCCGTTCGAAATGGGGTCAGCTCAGGTCCACGAACGCCATGTGCAGCAGTGATTATGAAGGCGGACGCACATATCGCTCGGAGAGCTTGTCTGCACTTTGCTCGACCATCTCTTCCGCCATGTCCGGGGCACGCATGAGGAAACGCATTCCAGCTCTCTTCTGCTCGAACTCGATCACGCGAGGCTCAAACAGGCACTGCACAGCGGTTTAGCGAAGAATTGTGACTGGGTGACCCATGTCGCACCATAGCAGCAAGAATGATCTCGTCATATGCCCGAAGGCCGTACTTCTCCGTGGCATGGCCGGGTCTTCGGACGGAGAAGTCGTAGAGGTTAAGCGCAACATCCCCCTAGAAAGTATGGTCAGTGACCAGCACAATCCTAGCCCATGCGCACACTCACCTCTGCCAAGGTACATAGTCGCGCCTTGAGGTCTTCCATAACCTTCCAGTCGTACGAACGAGCAAGGTTGATGTCACGATAGGGAAAGCCGATTTTCTCCAGCAAGACATACAGGAACTCGGTTATGTCGTTCCCGCCCATACTGAGTACCATCCTGTTGCGACCAGTCAGAAGCGTGGGGCGATACCGAGACAGTAAGCAACTACCTAGTGTCCGCTATCACCAAGCCGTCATCTACGCAGGCGATGCTTGTCTTAACGGCACCCATGTCGACGACACACGCATTAGAAATGCCAGCGCCGTAGGTTGCGGCTAAAGACTCCTGCAAAGCGGAGGTCAGCAAGTGTAGACGGCAGTGGCATAGGCATCAGTACTTGCTGCGCACAGATCTGTTTGAAGCCCATGTCGACTAGCAGAATCCTAACGAGCGACTCAACGTAGAGGCGGTCATAGTAGTCCGGGATTACCAGGACTACAGAATGATCCTGTAGACGGATGGTGAGTATCGCAAGAAGGTCAACTGGTACACCTGCACAAACCTTATATGCGCTCGGTTCAATGCCCTTCAACTTCAGCGACTCGCGAAAGATGGTTTCAATGTCGCTGAGGATCAGCTGGGCGGAAGGGTAATCGCGAGTGTTAAAGTTGCCGCCGTAAATTGGCCATCGCATGATATATCCCATCTCCTCTGGATTGGCAAGACGAAGGGCTGTCTCGCCCACAAGGTACGGCTCTTCTGAGGAATGTATCCAATCCACATGGTAGGGGTCATTAACCTCAGGGATGATCTCTGGCCTGAACTGTTCATTGAATGTTGTCGCGATACTTGCGGAGTTCGTTGTTACCCGCAACTTGTAAAACCGCATCCGGTCGCGCAAGGAGACGGTAATCGCTGCGACTTTGGCGTCGAACTAATATATACAACTCAACGCTCGATTCATATTACCGGTCCGCAGTATGGCACATACGCACAGGATCGTCCGACGCTACATTGACCGCGTACTCATCTCCCGGAGGCGCGGTCGTAGAGGGAGTAGAGCGTTTGCGGTCCTCCCGAGGTCGCGAAATGCCTTCCACATACGTTTGAGAGGGAACTGTGGACGAATATCTGCGAGCGATGACATTGGGGACACTTAGGGGTGTCACGTCGGAAGCGCGACCTATTCGAAGGAATCTAGAACCGGGATGAATTACGATGACTTTGGCTCCACGCCTGGTCTATGTAACACGTTAGACAGACACAACCTATGATGTGACTGCAGCGTACCTCCGTAGGAGTGGCCGCCCCTGCCTCGTCTGACACGGTCCTCGTCCTGTGCGCGCGTATCGCATTCCGGGACCATACCGTCTGAGATTCCGACTTCAGGTATGTCGAGCCAACGTGCTTCGGATTCGGTCTGTCAACACGGCGTCACCACTGCTCAATGGGCAAGTGCGCCCCCGTCTGTACGCACGCGAGAGGAACATGGAAGGAGGTGTACCGCAGGGCGGACTCGTCTCTTTTCGCGTTGGGGATTCCCCGTGGCATCAGAAGTCACGTACGTGCAGGTCGTCAGAGAAACAGCGTAGAACAGAGGGCCATGAACGAGAGGAAGAAGCTATATTGCCGCATGGCGCGCTGCCCAACACGGTCAACGTTCGCGGACAAGTCGTATCGTCTTCTGGCGTCCAGATATCGCAGCTATACTAGACGGCTATGTGAACTCCCTTTCCAATGGCCTGGTGGTCTAGTAGTATGATTCCTTCTTAGGGCTTTGCAGCATTTGGAGGAGGTCCCGGGTTCAATTCCCGGCCAGGCCCTTTTGCCTCGGGTCCAGTTTGTTTCGGCGCTTCTGGCTAACCCCGCTTTGTCACGAGCCAGCATGGCTTTGATTTTCCTTCCTTACTTTGCTCCAACAGGCTGCCTTTCCATAACCTCTCTTTCGAGTGGCTCTTGGATATACCTGTCAGGCTGTGTGTCTCAATGTTTTGCCATGCGGCCAGGGTTATCATCGCGACGCCGGCAATGATGTTCCAGGTCCGTCGGGATCTGAAGACTGATGCTGCCGATACCCGGGGTACACCGATGTCGCATTCAAAAGGCTTTGCCTATAGCTATAGGTAGGTCGCTCAATATCGCTATATGCATATCTATCAGGATGCGACTTGTAGTCTAATACACATGGACGCAACTGATAGACTCATTTTGCCAAATTCAGATTGCTTCTGTGCATACCTCCTAAATCCCTATTCACGTAGACCACTATCCGCGGCTAGTCAGATCAATCAAGTTCTTGCACAAATGACACGCTCACGGGGCTCGAATTGCAGTCGGAAGTTGCAGCCCGTATCACCGTCAATTCTCCGTTTGACGGGCCGCGCAGTGCACCACTTGGCGGTTAGATTCCTGGCCACCTCCAACCGAAATAGACCAAGATCAATTACGGACGTATAGGATATCGTCCTGTGTGAATACCGACGGGCACGACCAGGATCTCGTCGTTAGGGTTGTGCACGAACCGCGTGTCTTCGGTAGTGTTCTACCAGCTTTCACGCCACAATCTCGAGCTCATGTGATGCCCCTCGCAGGATAGGGGAACGCGGAGGGCTTCTCCTCGGACGAGCAGTTGAGCAGTACGTTTCCTGATTTTTCCCGAGCAGCACAAACTCGCGGGAGACGGTCTCACGCGGAGGAGACAACGGCACGGCGAGAGCGCTTCCGCGCCTACTTGACAGCCGCATGCCTCACAGTGTCAGTACGCGTATTGGGAATGCCAACGCCTATGCCTGTGCCATGGCGTGAAATTTGATCAGGAAGCATGCTCTTCTTTTAGTCTGGTCTGGAGCACCTGAGTAAGCTACTGGCATCGACTCCTCATACTTGACTGCACCGATAGATCTATGCTCTCTTCCGGTGTGCAACAAGTATACCAGGACCGTCGCAGGTTTGGACAGTCCCAGGGTGCCGCTAAGGAGTGCTCTCCTCAGTCTCTCAAGTTAAGTATCACTTATCGCTTAGAACCCTACGTATCATAGTGATCCGCTAGCTCTTACCTCTAGGGCAGCCTAGGAACAAGAGAATAGCACGTGAAAGCGTACAGCCAGAACGTGACTGCCTCGATAGATCGGCCGATGGCCGCTATTTCGTGGGGAACGTCTTCTTGAGCGCAACCGTCTTAAGTACGGCGAGATGACTCCGTTGACCAGATCATGGCACAGCTCAGATGGCCCAGCGTCCACCGCTTAGACTAGCCAGATGCTGAAACGTGTTGTGTGGGTCGCCAACTCTCACATCACAATCGAGTCTCTCGTACTTGAGAGTGTATTGCGTACGGCGGGTTGGGCTAGATGGGAATTCGAAGTATCAGTTAGGTGAGTACACACCCCTTGCCCTCTCCGTCTCTGCCGTTAAGTTACGTGGCCATTGCGGATCACGTACTTTCCCCCTAGTTTGGTGAAGTCTCAGAGAGACCGAATAGGAACACCATGGCTCATGGCGACTCTGGGCCCATGAAACGTTCGACAATAGCCGCTCAGCTGTCGGAAACTCTAGTCACTGCGCTTACTTCAGAACAGCACGTCGCGGTGAAGGCGGCGCATGTGAACAAGGCCATGCCCCCATGCACCCGCAGCGTGCACTGGCAGCATGCATTGACACGGGCGTCGCAGTTGACGACCGGCCCATGGCGCGACTGCAGACGTTCGACTCTTGAAATCCTGGCACTCAATTTGCCAACAAGCTCAATTCGTATGGGTCGGATGCGCACGTACGACTCGTAGCCACAGGAAAAGGCCATCAATGCCGTTGTTTTTCTACTTTGCCTTCTGTCAGAGACGGGCCACCCTAAAACCGGGGATAACGGAGGTTCCCATGGGTCCCGGGAAAGGGGGGGGTTAAATTTGGGACTTTCTCAAGTGCAACACGGTTCCTTCCGAGGAGCATGGTCGTGAATGGAGACATTCGTTCGTCAGAGGGAACGTTCGGTCCACAATATGGAAGGTACCACCATATGATCAACGGGAGCTGGTGAGATATCATGACCGAAGATGATAGTAGTAGTCACACATGAACAGTTTGTCGTGGTTCACCATTGCTCTGCTTCAGGAAATGCTCGTAAATATAGTTCGAGGCTAGCGTACGATCAGGCTGTGGGGCCGAGCTGGAGCTTTCTTGAGCTGCCGGGACAGCCGCCATTCATCTAATCAGCACTTTGTCTGAAGTAACACGGTCCGTTGAGTACGGATGCACCGATACATCTGACTTGAGGTCACCCTTGCCACTGACGTTATTAAGAGGCGAAGTGGATCCAACCCGCCGGTTCGCCGGTTCGCCGACCCCGTTACATCGCACACCTATCCTCCGACATCTGAGTACATTGCCTTGCGCGCCAGGCAAGCGCTGCCACACGAGCCTATACGGCGACCCGACTGCGAAGAGATGAGTCACAACGACGGAGACGACGATGAACTGTCACCTGTTTGATTAGTTTTGGTGAGGAGGCGATACTGAGTTGCCGCCGGTTCCCGAGGCTCATGTACGCAATTACCATTGCAACCAGGCCTCTATCACTGTTATACTATCTTGAGGTCGATTAATGGACCATAGTTATATGCATTCACTGCGCCCAATGGCTTGCTGCGTAGAGGATGACTATAGGAATGTAAGGTCCCTTACAGGATTCGACATGCCGTCTGGAAACTTGATGTAGTAGTACTCGCAAGGTCAACACATTGACGAAGCATCCTACTCAGATTCTATCGCTTCGCACAGCTTACGCCTGTGGGGATGAATGCAGCTTAGCGACTCTATGTGACAAGGGGGCGAGACATAGCTTCTCTATAGTTGACGATGAACGATCGATTTGATCCCGAATCACTCGGAGACCCATTGCCGCTGAGCGCTGATGTCCTACGTTCTCAAGGTTTAAAACACGGTCGCACGACGGAGTTATGCGTACGCGACATGATACAAGTATGTCTGTGTCCTAGGCGATATCCGTAAGCAACGAGTTAGCCACTACAAACCGCCCAGGTTCAGAGAGCTCATCGTGCTTTGAGATCCGCCTAATCAAGGATCTGGTATATTGTGTACACCTTGAATGGGCGGCCTCATGACCGTCAAGTTGTGACATTCGTGATGTTGCAGTGAGCGGCCGCCAAATTACTAAAGCCAGAAGAACAAGGGATTAGCCGCGCGAGTTCATTGTACCTAACGGGGAACAAAGCCAGTCAATGCCGTACTGCATGCTGTTTTCCTAACTAGGCGTGGACCATTGGGGGCTTATACTGACGAGTTACCGGGAGAACTTGTCGCCCCAATGGCTGTTCAGGTATAGACAAGAGATGTTCATGTACACATTACGCAGTTACTGGTGTGCTTGTTGCAAAGAGCTGCAGGAGACACGAATGGAGGTATGAGTTGCGGTCACGGTAGGTTACGATATTTGGCACGCGAGAGGGATCACTCCGAGATCTCGATCGAGCGCTTGTTCTCACGTCGCGGAGTCAACAGTAAGTACTTCCTCTGTCTCTTTCCGACCACCATCTCCTGTGCTGGCTGGATGCTGAAACTTCTTAATCCGTCTCAATGCGTGGGCTCTCGGCCAGTGTATGAGACTCAGAATCGTGCCAGCCGCCCACCGGCACGCTGAGGCGTGCGACAAAGACGTTCCCGTCGTACGTCTTTCATCCAACCTCATCATATCCATGCTGGAGCTAGCTGTGCTGTGGGCCCAACGTCCCTGCGCGTCTGAATACGAGGTCTGTCACGCTTCGCTGTACTTGATCCCTCTGACAGTTTTGACCTAACTACAACAGAAACAACTTGCATCCAACGGAATGTGCATTCGTCTTCTACCCGCACGCGGTCCGCTCGTACACACCGTCGGACAACCGCTGATCTTGCACATTCAGGCGCCCATCCGGGGTTCACGCTGCGCCTCTTTCCCGTGAGTGCGCTCCGAATGGTGTGGCTTGCGGCTGCTGGACAGCGTCCGGCTTATAGGCGTTACATGACAGAATGCACTTTTCATGTCCTCTTCTACCGCCACCGACGTGATCTGATGTGCGTCATGCTTCGTGATTACTCGCTGAATCATCTGAGTGCGTTTGTGCTCATCACAGCCGGCTACGTTAGGCCTGAGATCCCTCGATTGAGCTTTGGCCTAAGGAGACGCCGGCAACTCTGCTGCTGTCTCAGAGCTTTGACTGTGCGTCGATGGGACACGACGGCCTCCATACTAAGCTAACAGGTACCACAATCCCCTGTGTATCACCGCTCAGCCCCGCGAGTGGAGCGTCTGCCTTCCCAATTTGAGTGCTGCGATCTCTGTGCGCGGTTGAATCTGGTCATCGCAGGCCCGTTCGAACGGCTCGGAGTGCCCCATCTATCGCGTGACGGAGACGCTGTCACTTGTATAGTGATTTTGAGCCATGTGGCGCTTGATCGAGGTGCTTGTTTGCACACTCCCGTCCCAGAGCGTGGGGATGGTGGTGCCTTGCAACATCATGGTTGTCGCTCGGGTTTGCGGAGTTTCTTTCCCCCCGTTCGCAGACTACACGGAGTATGCCCTAACGCATACACGCTGCTGCGAGCTCGTCTTACACACGATTTCGTCATTGCTCAAGGCGCGCCCATACGAAGCCGAGTATCACGCAGAGCTAATTCTCCTACGTGGCCAAGTCATGTATGCATACGGTCAGGCTGAAGAAGCCCTTGGCTTTCCGTTCCATGGGCGGGCACGGGCATGGTGCCGTCGAGCAAGTGACGCCCATTATTGCTGATGTACCGTTTCCCAGGAATTGAAGAGCCACAACGCAATCATTGGTCGGGTCAGTACAGCTGTCAGATCCCACCTCTCCGATGCGCCGGGTCAATGTAAAGAACAACGTCTTCGCAGTCCATCCTAGAGCCTCGCTCAGGCTTCCCATGACCATTCGCCGCCCAGGAACATCCCAGCCCTCGGACACGAAATGATTCAGACCGTCAAAGCGATGTCACCACTTGGCCACGGTCACGGCCGCCCATTTTCACAGCCAAGTTGCGTGCGGGATAGACACTTCCTTTCAGGCGAGGCGGCGTAGTATACCAACAAGCTCTCGTGCATCATATGCATTGGTCAATGCGACGCAATGCACGCGTTTATGCTGATAGCAATAGAGCACAGCCGGTCTTCCTCGTCTTATATAGATCGAGATGCATGGACGGGGAATGACAGCCAACACCTACTATTCCTACCAACACAACCTCAAGACGTTCTTTCCGACACATTCTTCGAACATGACAGCTCCCCTTGAACGCGGCAAAGCATGCTCTCGATGCAGGTTAGTTTTTCTTAGGACATCCACAATTATCCCTGTGTTGACCTGCGACTTGTACAGGCGACGTAAGATGGTGTGTATTGGGTCCGAATGGACTTCCGCAGACACTGAATCTCAGCCTTTGTGACAGCGTTGCGATGGACAGCGTCCGGCATGCGGCCAATGTGTGCGTTCCGAACGTGCGGAGGATTGTGAGTATCTCGACGGACCAGGACCAACGCAGAATCAACTCCTCGAAGGCGAAATCGCACGTCTCGAAGGGCAAATCGCTCGGCTCTCAGCGGGATCGGCGCCGGTGACACTGCACGATCCTTACGCCGCCTGGTATCAGGCGCAACGGAACGCCCAAACCCAGCAGAACGCGAACGATCCCACGCGCACCTTGTATGTCTATTATCCTTCGTCGTGAGAGACAGCGCTAACAGCTGTGTTTCGATGCTATAGGATCCAACATTTTGTTAGGCATGCGACTGAGTTCGGGTTCTTCTTGGACATCTCTCGCTTCTTGGACAAGGTTTTCACGCATTCACCGAGCCGTAGTCAGAGCATGGGGATCCTTCTGAAAGTCATCTATCTCATTGGGGCAAAGCTTTCCAATGTTCCACAGATGCTGGCTCAGGAGCAGGCGTACCTCACTCGTGCCCTTCAAGTCCTTCCGACGGCGCTCCCCGAAGATCCCCGTAGTGCAATCTACGTCATGCAAGCGGAGGTCCTTCTGGCCAATTACTTCTTCAACAACAATCGCCAGCTTGAAGGGGTTTACCATACAAATGCTGCGGTATCTATCGCCATGGCTTCCAAGCTGCACATCATTCGCTCGGCTGGTCGCAGCAGGAGTGGCGACTCCTCAACATATCGACTTCCTCCTCCCGCTGATGCTCTTGAAGAAGGCGAACGTATCAACGGCTTCTGGACTGTATTCGTCATGGATCGCTGCTGGGCGGTCGCTTCAGGATCCACACCCGCTTTCACGGACGACGAAGCCTCAGGCACTCAAATCGATACGCCATGGCCTATGGAATTGTCTAGATATCAAAGCGTGAGTGCTGCATTGGGATAGTGTCCTGAAATTGCACTGATCACTAAGTCTGTATTGCAGCATCCTTTGCCGTCCGACCTCCGTACAAGGAACACAGTGAGATCCTTCATCGCGGGTAGCGACAGCGATGCGAACATGGCAGGCCAGAGCCTTCTGGCGATTCACGCGAAAGCGGCGATATTGTATGAGAGCGCGGCACGGCTTGCCTCGCGGTACAATCCCTGTAAGACCATCAAACGATCCGCGTGCGACGATGGCTGATATTCTGCCGAGACGAATTAGCATCTCAAGCGAGCTTCTTGTCCCTGGACAACCGCATCGAGCGCTTCAAGCAGGCCTTGCCTCGGATCGAGCAGTTCGACCCCTCGCGTGCAGACTTCGTCCGACAAGCGTTACTCACCCACACGCTAGCGCACTGCGCAACCATTCAGTTACACACGCCGCTCGTCCAGCAGGGGGTTACCGCGAACAGCCGCACCTGTCAAGCCGCACATGCTGCAGTGAGGAACTTGAATTCGCGTCACGTCAGCAGTGCTCCCATCCTGTACTGTGTGAACCCGTTCAATGGGGTAGGTCCAGTCTTCCCAGCCCTACCCGCATTCGCTCGCAGAGCAGTACCTTTCATCATTGCGAATTTTCTTACCATTGCCATCTCCTACCATGTGCCCTGCTGCGATCGCCTGCCTACGATCAAGTCCCACGTGTACTAACTCCTGCTTGCTCTAAATAGATCTTATGGCCGTCGGTGGCTAGGGTGCTCTCCCAGGGGATCTCAACTGCAAGACGTCAGAGGGCCGCAGGTGCCTCGGGGTCCTCGCAGGGCATGCCGGACGAAGGCACGCTCCAGTCAGACTTCCAGAGGGTGGTGGCTGTCATGAACCAGAACGCGGCATTCTCCCCGTTGATGAGTATGTCTTGGACACTGCTTCTTTGTGATGATCGAATGATACATTGCTCATGCCCATCTGTTCTCTGCTCGACAGGTACACAGGTTGGGACACTTCTCCCAGCGCGCTCGTCTTGAACTGGAGCAAGTCCCACATAGACATATCCGCGCCAACGCGATCATCGTTATCGAAGGATAATCCATACTGCCTCCGCCTTCACTGGCGGCAGTGCTATATCCTTGAGTTCGACTGACATTTTCCTCTGCTTCCTCGCTATGTTTCCCCACATATCTATCCATTCTTGACTCACGTCCGATCTATATATTGATCCACTGTAGACTATTGATGCCCTGCATCCCTATAGCTCCCTATTCGTATTGGCCTTTTCTTGGTACGTGCATTGGCCTCGGCTTCGGACAACCTCTTTCCTGGTGTATCGATGTATACATTCGTAGACGTCTCAGTTTTGATCAGATGCTCATCATGTAATCATATCTAGACCTACTGTATCTTACTACTATATCATAGAACCGCTTGCGTTTTCACTGCACTCGATCGTACATAAGAACAGCCCGGTGTACAGCATCGACCACTGGAAACAGGCATACGTCATGTCGTGGGCACATTATGTATACCGGTCATCATCTTATCCACACTCGTTCATTGTCTCACTGCTCCGCGTCTGTATATGGTACATGTGGTACAAGATCGAGAACTGTATGTTGATCTGTATATGCCATCATAAGAGCCCGCTCTAGCGCGTCGGGCAGAGCCGCCCACATGCAAACGAACATCTGAGCATCCCTTGTATCCTCCGTGGTCGGCGAATCTACGCTCGAAGCTTCGTGAAGATGCTCCGCAACGGCACAGGCATCCTGCTACCGCTCGAGCCGCCGTTCTTCTGCGATGCCATCGTCCCGGCGGCCACGGGCGCCCCTCCGCAGGCAGCTGCAGGCCTCAGCTGCGTGGCCGACGAGACGCTCACTGTCGCCCGCCGGGCGGCGTTCTCGTCCCCTTTGCGCTTCGGGGTGCTTGGGGCCGAGACCGTCCTGAGCACGTGCTGGACGACGTTCTCCTTGCCCCCGGGCGTCCCTGCGCCGGGACCCGGACGCCGAACAGACTCGGGGGACACTGCAGGGGCGCCCTTGCGCGCGGTGGTCCGTGCCGGGGTCGGCTTGACGGGGCTCCGGGGACTCGCGGAGGGCGGCTTGCGCTCCGGGGGCGCGTTCTGCCGCACGCTGACCGTCTTGAGCGGGGCGCGACGCTCGTCCGCGCTCTTCTTGGGCGGGGCGGGCATCCTGGAGTACGGCGACTGCAGCGAGGGGGCGCCCACGACGGCGCCGCCCGGGCCTGAACCCACGATGAGCTTCGGGGACACGGGCTGGCGGGCGGACAGGGGGCGGCGGCACGCCAGGGCGCGGACGGCCGGATGCCGAGCCATCGTCGTCGCCGGCGACTTTGCGGGCGGGCTTGTCTCGTTGGGGGGCGCGGTCCGGACGGGAGGAGGGGCGGATCGGTGAGAAGTCGTCGTCGCTCGCGCTGTGCCAGCCGGCAGGGTGGTCGTAGTGGTGGTGGCGGCGGCGGCGGCGGCAGGCGGGGCAGTGGTTCGCTCTTCGGGACCGGAGTCGTCGGAAAGATGGGCCATGCGCAGCGGAGAGCTCTTGTGGGGAGTCGAGGGCAGCATCGGGAAGCGTCTCAGCATGGAGAGGACGTCCGTATCAGAATGATGCTTGGACGGCGCCGCTGGACGGTCCGCGGGCTCGTCGTTGCTGGACGCGATGTACTCGTAGAGGCTGGGCACAGCCGAGAACCGGACGCTCTTCTTCTCCTTCAGAATGCCTCGCACCGGGGTTCTTGCGCTGGAGGCGGTGCTCGACGGACGCAAGCTGGGTGGCGTGAAGAAGGAGCTGTCCACGGACACGGGCGCGGACAACGGAACGGACGCGGGGATCTCGAAGGGAACGGGCTCGTCGAACTGGTCGAGCAGGCGGTCGACGTTACGACCGACAGATGCGCCACAAGGCTTGTCAACGTGGACGAGTCGCTCCGCGTCCCCCGGAACGAGCTGGGAGTCACCATCGGGTGCCTGGATAATGACGGTCTTGCGCCACATCTGCTTCACGGACGCTGGGGTCTGCACTGGCTGGCATTCGTCGCTGGCGTCCGGTTTGCTCTCGCCGCCCTCGAACACCGGCGAACACGGAACCATCGTGTCTTTGACAGACGTCTCCATTACGAGAGAGTTTATTGCCGTATATGCGACCTCCCCTGCCGATAACGGAAGCGGAGAGATCTCTGGGCTAGGCCCTCTGCTCGCGTGCCAGTCGACAACGAGCCCGTGGACGAAGCCCCACTCGTCGTCGTCTGCATCAGGAAGCTGTGCGGACGCCGCCATCCCCCACCGCACCGTCTCTAGCTCGAGGCTCGGCAGGGGATGAGACGGCGGGCGGCGAAACTCAATCTCCGTCGGCGTGAACGGCGGCGGCGGGACGAGAGCCTTCAGGTTGCTGCACATCGCAGAGAGGCCCATGTCGCCCCTGGAGGGCGAGCCAGAAGGGAAGGCCGGGGACGTTGGGGAGAAGCCCGTGGACGAACAGCCTAGGAACACTGACGGGATGTCGGGGTAGGAGTCGCTGTCCGCGCGCCCGGACACGTCCGGCGTCTGCGGGTGGTGGCCCAAGGACAGCGTGGGGGGTGGCTTCTTTCCGCGGCGCACAGCGAGGGGGAGTTCTTGATGCGGGCCCACGTTGTGCGATGGCTCGGCGGAGGGCAAGAGGGCCGCAGTTGAGCTCGAAACCATGATTGTGGGAACTAGAAGCAAGCCCCCGGGACCGTCGGTGCGGGGCGCGGGTTCCGCAGAATTGTCGGGCGCTGAGGGCGATGCGCGGGTTGCAGAGCTTGTAGAGTCTGCAGCATTATTGCGGGACAAGCCAACCATGGTCAAGGCGGTGTGCGGTACCGTCGCGGGTACGTTCCTGATGGTGGGACGACCACAGCCGGCATCGATGAACGGATTGGGCTGTGTGCAGCATGTACGGTTCGGAGAAGTTGAATCTCCACCCGCGATGACAATCGACGACCTGCTTGGTGAGATTTCTGCATCTTTGCCGTGTCCGCTCATCAGATGTTTAGGGGTACCGGCGATGGTCTAGTAATATTCGCATTCGCATTAATTTGAGAGAGCGGATTGCCTCCTGAGAATCAATCACTTACTACCCACAAGTTCTCTAGTATCTTCTCCTTCATTACATTTTCTAGGAAACGACCTGTGGGGGTAGCGACTTCCGAGTCCCGAGTATCATCAACTTTGCGCTTGACTGGGGTCTGCAACATCCCGGCAGGGCCCCCGGGCGATCGGAGGTGGTTGAAGAAGACACGGGCATTGAACTGGTCGGGGAACGGTGGGACTTCATCGAAAAACTGTGAGCTGCTTGAGGTTGAAGAGAAACTGAGACGAGTGGACAGGATGCTTTCTGAACCGCAGGAAGAGAGGATTGCTTGGAGATCCAGAGACGCGGTGGAGGGTCCGGAAATGATACGCTCCTGTGGCGGACTGAAGGCCGTGCCAGTTGTCATCGCCGTGGGCAGTGAGGTTGTGTCGAGAGACCTGGAGACATAGCCAGAGAGAGGACGGACAAGGCTGGCAGACCGACGGCGCGGCTGACGTCCGGAACGAGTGGCTAACGTGCGCTGCGGGGCCGAGTTGAACAGCCGAGGACGGGGCCAGATCGCCGCACATGGGCACGGACTCCACGCTCCCAACGCTGGCATCTCACTTGCGCTCTCAGTGAACCCCCCGCGTAGTCCTCGTCGGATGCGAGGAGCTGTACTTTGGCCGTCTACGAGTCACTCGATGAGGTCGGCTAAGAACTGCGTCTACATAACGGGTTCCAACGAACGTACATACCTGCCTGCATGCCCGACACGCGGTAGTGTTCCCATAAACAAACGTGAGCAATCTGTGCATCGCAGATCTACACTTCCATGGCATTGCTTGGCTCGGCGGAGGAGGTCGCCCGAGATCCTCACGTCGAGAAGGCGGCGTGCGACCTGACCAGGGCCAGCATTCAACTGAGCAGGTACCGACAGAGAGACTGCGCGGGTCTGATCATCTGGAATGCACTGTGTAAGTAGGGCTGGTTCAAGGGGAACACCGGGGCTGTGTCGCAGTATGAGATCCAAGGAACCCGAGGGCGTCGTGGCGTGGACGAGCCCTGTTGACGCTCGCAGTCGGGTATCGCGTCGCTTCGGGGCTCGCCAACGCAACGCTCGACCCCCGACCTTCCCGCCCCCCGCTTCCGCTTCCTCACCCTCACCTCGCCGTCGTCCCCCTCTTCCTGGCAAGGTCACCGCGCCCTCTCACCTCCCTTCTGTCTACGCTCTGTGCCTGCCCGACAGACGAGTCCAAGGAACACCGGCCTCTGTAACTTATTCCTTCTCTGGAAAATTGACACCGGTCTGCAGCGCCTCCGTACCTCGCACGGTCCGACTCCTCGTCCTCCCACTGTTCTGTCTGCTGGTCCATCCAAACTATCGTTATCGCCTGTTCTTCTCGCATACCCCCTTCGCCTGCTCTTCTCGCTATATCTGCAGGCCTACGTGTTATATGCTCTCCGGCTCGCTTGGTCGCTTGAAATAACTTATCCATCTCGTTCGCACACATTCTTCTTTGGTGAGTTCTGTACTCCCTCGCCTCCTCATTCCTTTGCACACTCCGTCCTCGTTATTCTTGTGATGACCACTTCTATATATTTGCACGTCAGACTGAGTGTCCCATTTGGGGCGCGTTCGATGCCAAATTCGCATATCTGATCCCAACACCACCTGCTCGCCGTCCAGTTCTGAAGTTTGTACGAGACGCTGACACGCCTTCCTCCTTCGCAGTGTAACGCTTCACTACGGAAAGGCCCGGGAATAATCCACGCTTCATGTGAGTGCCCCAATCCTGCGTATTGGCGGTGGGACGCGCTTTTGGGAAGGTCGCACGCCGGTTGAGGCACAACTGCAAGCTTTACCATCTGTATGCTCGACGAGCAGGTCGACAGGTGGGCGTACTGTTCCCGTGCGCGCTCCCCGTCAGCCATCGCCATCTTCGCCATCCTCTGCTACACCATGAAATCTTTCCCTCCCAATACTCGGGCTCTGTACCGCTTCGGTGTGCCACCGTCTGCCGGATGCTTTCTCCTGCGCTGAAGCTTGTATTGACACGAAGTGCCTTCGTCCTTCGCTTGTAGACACACCCTAATTGCATCCACCCCCACAACCCGCCCGCCCGTCGAAATGTCCTCTTACTCCCTCGACGAGGGCGGCTCGCGCCTTCCAGCCACGCCTACGCTCTCGGCGCCCCCATCAACGAACGGTAAGGCGGGGGGCAGCAGGGCCGGGCTGGTGCCCACAAACAACGTGACGACGAAGGAGGGGATCACGGTGCGGACGAGGATCGAGCCGAGCCTGGCGGTCGAGGACGTCATCCGGCAGCTGTGCATCAGCCTCAAGCTCAAGGACCCGCCCGCGATGTACGCGCTACGGGACGAGAACGACGAGCTGGTGACGAACGATAACATGCGCAAGAAGATCAAGGGGAAGGTGAACCTCAAGTGAGTGGCTCCTCCCGCCGGCTGTCGTCCGGACATCCGTGTCCCGTGTGTGCTCCTGCCTATATGTGTTCTTGCGCCGCGCAGGCTCGTGAACGCCCCAGCCATCGAGGCCGCGGAGATCGTGGAGAAGCTGTCCCAGCGGGATGCGAGGCTCGGTCTCGCGCTCACGTCCTTGCGAAAGCTGATACGAGTACGTACTGCGCTTCTGTCATGGTCGTGGAGGGACACTGAACCCCACCGAAGGAAGAGCAGTTCGCCAACGAGTTCCTCCAACGAGACGGCCTGCACGAGCTCATCGACGTCATCAACAGTTCTCACGGGAACATCCTCGCTGTCAGTGCTCGGTCCCGCTGCTGCTGCCGTCACGTCGATAGCGAAACTGACTGACGTCCGTGCACCATATCAGTACGCCCTCACTGCCATGCAGAACCTGATGGAGCTCGACTACGGCTGGGCGAACCTCGACAGCTCGTTCATATTGAAGGTCGTGCAGATCCTGTCGTCCGAGCAGTCGCCCATCAACGTCTGCCGTCCGGCGACGGCGATCCTCAAGAAGCTCGTAGAAGCGGACCCAAGTAGCGCGTCCGGAGTCCACGCGCCGAGCACGAGCAGGGGTCCTCCGTCACCTCCGCCTGGGTCCGTGTACAGGTACGGTTTTGACGTCGTGTTCGAGCAGATACGCAAGGAACGGCGGCTGCTAGAGACCGTTGTGAGTCGATTGGGCAGCGCGGACACGACTATGGCGCTCTACAGGTCCGTCGTCGCGATTTGTAGCCGTGTGTGCGACAGATGTTCACATCCGTGGTAGCATGATGTTGATCAATTCGTTGCTGGCGCATGCGAGCGACCCTCGGTGGGACGAGTTCATAGCCGAGCTGGAGCGACTCAATGTCCGCAAAGCAGTCATCGTGCGTGCATCGTCTCTCCCGAAACCGAGACCTTCCGCCTTGCAGCCGTTGACGTCGTTCTTTGCTGCAGCGACTCATGTCATCGCATACCATCGAGGATCTCACGTCGTGCATCCTGGACTTCCAGGCGAACGTGGTCCGAGTGACGTTCCGGAAGAAGACGACGCTCGTCGAGCCCGACTTCGAGCCTCTGCAGAGCGCCGCCCTGCAGTTCATCTGGGAGAGGAGCCGCCTTCAGGAGGACCGCGAGGACGCGCTCACGATGGTCAAGTGGCGGAAGCTCGGATTCGAGACGGAAGACATCGGCCACGAGTTCAGGGAAGTCGGCGTGCTTGGGCTGGATTGCTTGGTAGGTCGTTCGCTAAAGGCTAGAGAGGGCACGGCGCGGATGCTGAAGTGCTGCCTAGACATACTTCGTGGAAAGGGATTTCGACTATTGGGCGAAGATAGTCCAGGAGCAGCTGAGCCGACCCGAGGAGCGGCGATGTCCGATCGCGAAGGCGTCGAACGAGGTGGTCGACTTGCTCTCGGAGCACTGGGCTATTTACGAGCCAGGATGTGCGATTTTCTGTTCGATTTCATCACCGCTTTGGCGCGTCATTAATATCTTCGGGCCGCGCAGATTCGACGTCGACGACGTTCCAGCCGTTCTTCCTCAACTTCTACAAAGTGCATTCGTTGGCTCTCCAATTCTTCCTGCGCATGTGGAACGAGAGCGGGGCATCCATTGGCGACTTCCCTCGGCTCGTCGCCCTGACCCGAAGCCAGTGCGTGTTCTATTTCCTTCTGCCGCTCGACTACCATCGTTGTTGCCATCCGATTCCTTGTATCAATGTCCTCTCTCGTGCTTCCCTTCCTGTTCGGGGTGCGCTTGATTGGTGGAATACTTATTAGTCCGTGTGTCCAGAGTAAAGGTGGCGCTGAAGCGAGAGAACATCCGCCCGTGGCATGAGGTCGAGCAGGAGTTCCTCGAGTGCGAGTACCGCGCCGTCCGCGACCGTCAGATGCAGGAGCTTGAGATGGAGGACGACATCATGAGCAAGGTGCCCATCCGGTGCGTATCTGCGTGCAGAGCCTATTTTTCGGCGGCTGTACTGACGACTTGCGTTGCATCCTCTAGCAACCTCCGTGCCAAGCTGTACAAGGAGTCTTTCGAGTTCGTCCGTCAGCAGCGCATCCACTGTTTGCTGGAGGGTGCGTGGTTCATGAATGGCATCCCCTTGGCCACCACTGTGCCTCGAGACACGCTCAAACGGCCAACACGTCCGTGGAGATTCCTCCGGCTGGTATGTCGTCCTCATTGGTACCTATGTTGGTCGCGTTCCTGACTATATGCGCTTTTACAGGATGCTGGCTTGAAGTACCTCCATTATGTCGACAGTGCCGTCAAATTTCCCGTTCGGAAAGGTTTAGAAGACCTCCCAGAACGCATTGAGATCGCTATGATCAGTGAGGTTGCGACCGGGACCTGCGCACCTTTCCCACATATCCGCGGCGACCAGACCGATGTCCCGCTAGGAGCGAACTCACCCCTCCTCGCATCCAGCCTGTCCTTCTCCCTCCTCAGCACAAGCGGCGGCTCGCTCGCAGATCAGATCGCCCCAGATCAGGCGCGGTGGGCAGACTGGACGGACGGCCTCAACATGCTCCGGCGAGACGGCGGCCACGTCGCGTCGCAGGAGACGGAGCTCTTCGTCCAGGCGTTGACGGAGATTGGGCTCAAGATCAAGCTGCTCGGTTCGTCTTCTTCGTCTGCTGTCTTCCATTCCAGGTTTGGATGCTGACTGCGCCGTGTTACAGACCTCTCAGGGGAAAAGGTCGAGATACCGAGCGGCCTCGTGGCTGGCCCGCCGCCCATGAACAGCGATTTCTTCTTCTCAGACTTGTCGTATGATCCTCAGGCATGACATCTTTCTTCCCCGTGCGAAGCCTGATTTGCCGCCTTCTACTGACATCCCTTGCTTCGTCTCATCCGCCACATACACCCATCCCCTACTACTCCCCTATTTACGGCGCTGTTGACCCCAGTGCGCATCCTGATCATAGCTGTGTATATAGTTGCGCGCGACGAATGCGATATTGATGTATGTAGTACCCCGTCATATCACTTGTTGTCAGACACCAGTGCGCCCGGACTATCACAGACTGATAGGGTGGAATGTGGACCAAAGGAAAATTTGGCTGGTGTTTGCGTGGATAGTTTCTATTGTGGCGGGTGCCAGAGACCCTGATCAATCTTTAATGCGGTCGGTGAAGGGATTCTTGCAGTAGGCGAAGGAAAAAAAGGCGTTCGGACTTGTCAGGGTGTGGGTAGTATAGAGTGAATTCTATATTCGACATGGTGGTGGTGGCGGCGGTCGAGCATCTACTTAGGAGCACGTGACAGTGTATTGGGATGCCGGCAATCACCGGTTGCACACGCCCTGCGCAGTACTAAACACATTCCGATGATATAAGACATGTCTGCTTTCTGATTCTCCGTGCGCCATGTCCGTAAGACTCGGTACGCTAGGTTGCTACGCGACACTCGCTGACGAATCTTGCACAGAATGAGCTACTACAGTAGCACTGACGCACCTCGGGGAGGTGCGTTCCTCGGTGACTCGAATACTTACAGAGGACACTCGGACGACCTTCCATATCCCGACTACGCCGACGTCCTTTCAATTCAGGATCGTCATTGCCTTTCGGGTCTGTCCCCGCCTCAGACGAGAGCGTGGACGCTCCTCAGGATTGAGCGATACAGAGCATGCATCCTGGCTCTCTGTTCTATTCACAACCTCGCGACCCCGCTACACACCTCCCTTCCCACAGAGATATTGGTCTATGTCTTCACGCAAATCCGACCGACAAGCCGGAAAGACATCGGTCTGGCACATGTCTGTCGTCTCTGGCGTTCTGTGCTAATGCGGACGTCCGTGTTCTGGGCAAGTTTGTTGGAAATGAAGATAGACGTCTCTTCAGTCTCCGACAATACCGTGCTATCAACACTATTGAAGAGGTCATCCCCACGTAGCCTCAGTCTCTACGTATCCGAGTTCCCACCTCTCTTATACGATATCCTGCACCCTCATTTTTCACGTCTTACGCACTTCAAGGCGAGGATATCGCTTGACAACCTACCGGAACTGTACGAAGCCCTCAACACTGGAATGCCTACCCTCCAAGCCCTCGAGATTGGCCTTTCTCAGCATGGAGCGGAGTTAGCCAGATCACTAAGGGAGGCGCGAACCACGAACCCCGATGTGGTCCCTCAGCTCGAAAGGGCTAACGTGCCCTGCCTGCGTACGTTGGTCATCCCTGGCTTCCTTTTCACCAACTCTTCTGCTCTTCCTTCTCTTCGCAGCCTGAACCTGAGCAACTGCAGCTGCCATTTTTGCAAGTGCCGGTTCAGTCCCCGTCTAACCGTTCTCTTACGAGCCCTCGAGCAGGCCGCCAACCTGCGGAGCTTGACATTCCAGCGATGCCTTTTGCATAACACGGAATTCAATGGAGAGCGCCCAATCGTCGCACTGCCGCATCTGGAGAACTTTGCAGCTTGGGAGACCGTCTTCGTTCTGCGCGAAGTTGTAGCCGTCATCTCGCCTCCGCCTACTGTATCGTTGCAGCTCCGTGTATGGCCCGGGAGCGACAGTCTCTCATTTTCTCACTGGCTTCGCCCCCACGCAGGCTACCGGGCGATTCTATCTTCTGTCGATGCAGTACATATCAAGGCCACCTGCGTTGGGTCCCAGACGTCCTCATTCGTCATTCGCAGTTATACCGGGAGTGACATACGGCTCTCTATCAACGTTCCCGGGCAGAATGCCATGGTGCGCTCGATGGTGGCCAATGGCGTGCCGCTCGTAGAAGAGGTGATAAGTCTCTTCGGATCGGCTCCGGTTAACAAGCTCGTCGTGGAAGTCATCGACGGCGTCCCAAGGCACACGGTCCTCGGTGTACCGGACTGGGTGACGCTATTCACCGCGTTCCCTGGCATAGTGACCGTGGAGGCCGCATTCCGCCATTACTGCTCATCGAGCCCCTCGTTACTGCGGCAAACACAGGCCACTGCCGATTGCGTGTTCGATGGCGCACATTGGCAAGGACTGGTGTGGCCTTTGGGCAAGGCCAACCCCATCGCGCCTCCGATGTGTCCATCGCTCCAGCGACTCGAGATTACAATAGAGGAGGACCGCATGATCTCCCAATTCTACCGTATCCTTGGCGGAGTCCTCAGAATTCGATTCGAGGCATTCGGGTATCGACTTGCGCACCTTGCGCTACGCGTCCGACCTGAACGCTGTCATGCTCAACGAATACAAAGTCTAGCAGCATCGGACTCGACCCGAACATATCCGGAGGAGCTACTCAGGCCGTTCGTAGAAGACCTTCAGGTCAGCATGCAGCGTTCAGGGGATTCGTATAGCCGTAGCAGCACGCAGGGGGAGTAGTAGATTCATGATGATTCGTGTTACATTTGACCCGTAGAGCATGGTCATGCGTTCGATGAGATAAAAGCAATAAAATACATGCAGTTGGATGCAGAATGTCCCTACAACAGCGATATAACGATAGTCCCAACCAAAAAGGTCACCGCTGTAGGATGGGATGGGTCGAGAGGATGAGCTCCCGATGATGCAGTTGATGCAATTGTGATGAGATGTATGTACACATGTTGGATGTCGATGCGGGGAGTGGGATGCTGGGATGCGAATGCAACGTGACGACTGATGCGTGAAAGCTACAAATAGATTGAGTCGGGCAGGAGGCCGATGAGTATGTGAGTATCATTGACGTTTCAACAGAGCGGAGAGGGGGGGAGAAGGACAGTGGGGGTTGAACCCGGTGACGATGCTTGGAAAAAATAGAGCAAGCCAACCGTGGGCTGGCAGTCCAGTGAACTGCCATGTTTCCAGACGCGCCGCGAAGGCAGAGATTGAGAGGAAAAGGATAGTAAAGATGTCCAGAGGCGCGATGGTGCACCTAGTTTGCGGTCCCGTTGGCGGTACCGTTAGTAGCGGTGTGCTTGGCTGCGTACTCGGCGCCAGCCTTGAAGAACGGCTCGAAGATGGCGTCGGGCTTCTTGTAGTCGTTATGGACGACGTTTACGAGGTAGTATGTGCTCATCATCTCGTCAATCAGCTGCCGCGAGGATGAGTCGGGTTCATAGAACTGTGCCCACTGACGGCCGAGCTCGTATGCCTCGTCCTGGAACCAGTCAGTTGATCAAGATCAAGATCATGACAGGCGACACGCGCAGACGGCTCACCTTCCACGCCATAAAGCTGATAGCTTCGACTATGGTCGGCTGGACGATCTCTTTGCCTGGGAACACACCCCAAGTAACAGCGTTGGGTCCCTCAGAGTGGGTGTTGGTACGGAGGTCGCCCCGAGCGTTGATCACGTAGTATGTGATGTTGATGTCGCGCTCGATGTGCGGGATGAGTAGTTCCAGCAACTCTGGAGGCACGAAGAACTCAAGATACGCCTATACATGCGCCCCAGATGAGCGATCCAAGCGAATAGCAAAACATTGACAATAAATGATGATACCTTCTGGTAGACATAGCCATTCGCGGGTCCCCATCCGTGCACACGGTCGTCGCTCCTCGCGCCGTCGACGGCAGGCTGCGAATTGATGGTGAGGAAGCCGAGCTCGTTCAGCTTCGCAAGCTGCTGCGCAATGATCGTCGTCTCACTCGACGGCGCCGTGTCCGACCAAGGGAGCGCTGAGAGCTGCCCGAGACAGAACTTGGTGAAGAGCGCGCGGATCTGCTCGACGGTCGTCGGCGTGTCCCAGAGCTTGAGTGCGTCCTCCTTAGACTGCTTGATCCAGATGCCGTACCCGTCGAGCTCACCGTACGCGGGCGAGCGCGAGTCTCCGAAACGACCGTTCGGGTACTCGTCCCAGTTCTCCGTGCGGGAGAGGTAGGAACGGGTGCGATTCGCCCAGAAGATCGGGCGGATGTTCTCCGTTCGACGGTTGGGGGTGAGCGACTGAATGCATGAAGAGCAGTCAGATAAAAGTCGTCGCTTTGAGTGAGAGTGTTCGGCTTTGGGACGCACCTGCCTCCAGGGAAGGGGCTTGACGACTTCAACGCGGGGAACAAGGTTGAGCTCTTCCAACAGCAACCTGCAGCCCTTCTCAAGGTTCATGGTATAGAAGTGGAGGCCCTTGATGCCTATGTCCGCAGCGAGGATCTGCCTACACATTTTGGCGACAAGCTTCGTGCCAAGCTCCCTAACTTTCTCATCGTTATTCTTGTGCGGCTCCAGCTCGTCCAAGAAAAATTGCGGGACCGTGATCTTGGCCAATTGCGTCGCCTTCTGGAAACCGTTCCACGTCTGGATCGGCATAATCCCGGGAACGATGGGCACGGTGATACCGGCAGCCCGGGCGGCTTTGACCCAAGCGACGAACATGTTGATGTCGTAGAACATCTGCGTAAAGATGAAGTTCGCGCCGGCGTCGACCTTGTCTTTGAGGTATTGCATCTCGCGCGCAGCCTCAGCCGGGGGTAGCGTCTGGGTCTGTGGGTATCCCGCTACCGCGACATCGAAGTAGTCGTCATACTCGGCGCGGATGTACCGCACGAGATCGACGCCGTAGGAGAAGCCTCCCTCGACGGCCTCCCACTCCTTGCCGACTGGTGGGTCACCGCGTAGCGCAAGGACGTTACGGCATCCATGCTGCTTCGCTTCCTGTATCATGGAAGGCCATGAGAACCGTTCACAAGGCAGAGAGCACGGGAGATGGGAGCGGAGCTCCGGCGGGATGAACTACAGTGAATCAGGAACGTCCGACGCATAGTCTTCGCTTTGGTATACTAGTCCGAGAGCGCGTCGGTCGCACGCGCCCATTGACCGGTGCGATAAGTGCGCCAGACAGGGGATGGTCTATGGGGCTTGCTGGGCTCATTCAATCTTCGGACGTTCGGCGATTCAAGAGCAGCATGTAGGAGGAAACTGAGGTCTGAGAACCTCCTAGCTCTGAAGGAGACGTCTTCAAGAGCTTGAGCTATTGCAACGGAACGGTTGGATCAAGAACTAGGAGCAAGATGTATGCGCCTAGAGCATGCATTCCAAGCATACCGGGATTGACAAGCAGGAGTATGGGGTAACATATGGGGAGTGAATTCAGATGCTCTTTAGACAACTCACCCTCAGTGCAGTGTCCACCTTCTCCTTCGGCATGCCCGTGCAGGTGAGATGCATACACGTCTCGATACCAATCAGCTTCTGGCACGTCTTGACAAGCTCTGACGTGAGCTCCGACGACCGTCCTCCCGCGTTCCTGCGCAGAGTCAAAACGCACATCCTCGATTTTCAATATCGACTGCCCTGCTCACCATGTGATGTCAACGAACTCAGGGCCCAGTGCGCGCATGCGCTCGATACGGTCCAAAAGGTTTTGGAGACCCTACGATAGAACGAGCCTGGGTGAATCATATTGCACATGAGGCTAGCGGCGGCCGCGAGCACTGACCTGCGCCGTGCGGGGTGGGAAATATTCGAAAGACCACCAAATGCGGTCCTCCTTGGCGGCCTGCTCGATTTTGTGGCTGATCTTCATGACTGGTCGTAAATTCTAGAAAAGGAGTATTATAGTGTCTATGTATCTTTTGAGGGAGAGGCGAGGGCACCGAGACGAGGGACAGAAGAGAAGAGCGGGAGAGGGTAGACAAAATCGTGCGAGGCCATCTTCGGCTACTGCATTAAAGTGCTCCGATAGACGCCCATAGAACCCTTGCGCGCTCACCGCTCGACCATCTCAATTCATGCCCCTCCACCTTCTCCAACCCCGACCGCATATCTTCTGCCGAGATCATCCTTGGGCCCCTGCTTCTAGCGTAACAAGGAGTGAGGGAGGTGGTCTTTCTGACCGGTCGTTTGTCTGCTGGTACATGTCGTTCAGGGGCGGCCGTTCGTGTAATGGATTTATTGGCCACGGTCTCTCGTACGACTCGGTCGCTTCATGGGAGGGCAGGCAAGACTGGCAAGTGCAACATGCTTCGCTTCCCTACCTGGGTGAGTCTGCCGATGTCAACGACATGAGCAGATCACCGCATGGTGGACACGAAGATGGTCCTTTCCCTACCTCTATCGACAGCCGAACGTATGACCATTGCCCCTGCGGAGCGCAACGTGCTGCGTCGTTTCGTATTGGTTTGGGGTTACTGTCTATGCAAATATGTGCGTCCGTCTGCGAATGCTCCCGGAACGAAGTCTCCGCGTTCCCACTGCCTTCTGAATTCAGTGGGCGCAAAATACACCGCATGCCGACTATGGGAACAACATCCCGGCGTCAAATGAAACGCACCCAGCTGCGGTCAATTAGGCAGCGAGTTCACAATTCCACGCAACTGGCTGCGTAGCCACGCATGCACGCAGTCGCGCGTTCGCTTTCGCAGTTACAACACAAGCGTGCAGTCGTGTAATCGCAGAGTCGGGTAAGCGACGCTAAGGATCCTATTCTTGGTTCTCAGTGGCCCCTGCAACAAAGGTCTGTCCTTGCGCAATGTAGATCGACTATGGTCCACAATCTGCCATTGATGAAGTTCTCATTGCGCTCAAAATGAGTCTACTGAAGGGGTTTGCAGGATCCATAGACTTGAGCCATGCCCTTCGTCGAACTCCTGCAGGAGGGCGCTCCAGTTACAACTTACAATAGACGCGCAGTTACACGACTGCATGGCTGCGTATGTACACACAGAGCTTGGCGAGCTTCGCCATCAATCGACTGCGTGAATACGTGGTTACGCAGCCTGCTACATAGTCAGTTGCGTGAAATCGTAAACGTTCTCCAATTAGGAGTCATATGGGCCTCTCAAGCATTCGACGTTTGAAGCCGAGGCGACGAGTTGCCGAGGACCTCGCCTGCATCCCGGTGATGGATCATGCTATCGCTGGGGAGATTGCAACAGGGCTGCATTTTCTGTCCGTACGAACTCTGTAGATGCATGGATATGGCAGTCTGTTCCACGTCGTTTCGGTTGAACTTGAACGTCGCGTCGATTCGAGTGTGGCAGACCGAGGGAACACCAGATACAGAAGTTCTGGTAGACGCTCAGCCACTCCCCGTCGCGCATGCTGAGGCAGCTGAGCAGGCTTCTGGTCACCAGACTCCAGTTTCTCACCTCTGCTCGCTATCTGGAGCGTAGCTCATACGCAGTCCATCTAAGGCTCCAACTTGACCGAACGCTCCGCAGAGTAGTGACCTCCAGCGCGATCATGGATGTAGACTCTACGGGTACAAAGGACCCGCCACCCGCAACGACCCCGAGCCTCAAGAGACCCCAGGAGGAAGTGCTCGAGGAGGTGAACGGCGCATCCAAACGCCAAAGGCCTGACGATCCTAAGGCGGTTGAAGTGGATCAAGGTGAGGGCGAGGGCGAGGGGGGCGGTGAAGCGGCAGAGGCGAGTACCCAAGGTGCGAAGGGTAAGGAGAAGGGAAAGGGGAAGAAAGATGGCGGCAGGAACAAAAGACAACGGGGCAAGAAGGGCGAGGAGACTGCCTATGAGCGGACCAGGAGAAGAGGGACTCGGCCGGAAGGCGAAGCGGCCCCTACGACAGAGGATGGCGAGCCGAAAGCACCTCGTCTGCCAAAACGGCAGTGCGCGCTGCTCATTGGGTTCTGCGGGGACGGATATAATGGAATGCAAATGTACGTTCTTACTATTGGTCCCTGTGAGATTGAGGATGTCTTCATTGTGCGCGGTGCTCCAGACAACCGGACCCGAAGCTACGCACCATCGAGGGTGTGCTCTTCGATGCACTCATAAAGGTCGGAGCTGTTTCAAAAGACAACTCAGACAACCCAACGAAGGTGCGCCAAGGAAAAGGAGCGTGTCAGTTGTCTTCTGACATAAAGACGCAACCTCAGGTAAAGCTCGGGAGGGCTGCGCGCACAGACGCGGGCGTGCACGCTGCGGGCAATGTCGTGTCTATGAAACTCATTAATGTCATTCCTGGCGTCCCCGACTTGGTCGCGAGGATCAACGAGGAGCTTCCGCCCGAGATCCGTTTATGGAGCATCGTACGTCTAGCATTCTGCTCCTTTGGCGAGTACCCTCAGCCGAAGTTCCCTGCCCCGCAGCTCCGGGTTCAGAACTCGTTCAACGCGCGAACGTCGGTCTTCGTCCCATATACTCACGCCCTCCCTCCGTTGACGCCGTATCTCCAGGACATGCGACAGCCGCAAGTACACCTACTTCTTCCCGTCATACCTCATGATCCCTCCAAAACCTGGCAGCGGCCTCTACAACACTCTCAAATCACAGGGTGCGGAGCCCCCTGCGCATCCATTCTGGGATCGGGTGGACGCCGAACAGCAGGCAAGCCCGCAGGATGACCTCCGGAGAAAACGCGCGTATCGGATCGCGCCTGAACAGCTCGCATCTCTTAGGGAGGCCGCGACGAAGTTTGAGGGATCGCACAACTTCCACAACTTCACCGTTGGGAGAGATTTCAGGGATAGAAGCTGTCAGCGATTCTTGAGATCTATTGAGGTATGTACTGTACTCACCTCACTTTTAGGCGCGACTTGAATGCGACACTACCTAGATTCTTGATCCTGCGGTATACGGAGATACTGAATGGATAGCAGTTCTTCTACACGGGCAGAGTTTTATGCTGCACCAAGTGAGTGGAGCAATTCGATCCTATTTGAATTGTCATACTCATCTCTATCCACAGATCGTGAGGCGCTCTCAGTTACTTTGGACCTGACAGACGTTCATCCCTCTTCTTGCCAGCGCAAAATGATCTCCGCCCTCGTACTATCGTGTCGAACGGGCACTCCGCCACATCTCATCGAAGAGGTGGGCTCAAACAGCTTGTCTCTTGTCTCTCAGGGCACCCAAAAGTGACATAGTATCTGCCGCTTGCAGATGTATGGGCCACGCCAGGTGTTCATACCTAAAATGCCCGCACTGGGTCTCTTGCTCGAATACCCGATCTTTGAGAGCTACAGCAAGCGTGTCGCGAGCGTGAACGAAAAGCTCCGGCCCGACGACCCCGAGTACCGTCCCTCGATCGATTTCGAGGCCCACCGAGAGCAGCTAGACGAGTTCAAGCAGAACCATATCTACTCGAAGATGCGTTCGATAGAGGATCAGTTCGGAATGTACGTTCCTCCGCCAGTATCGTATGAATGGAGAGCTCAGGCGGCGGCTGTCCACGTCTATTTGACAATAGCTTTGATGGCTGGATCCGGTCCATCGACGCATACGCAGGCCACGATCTTGAGTACCTGAACGCGAAGGGCGTCATACCTGCGTCGGCGGTGATCAAGCGCGGCGAGTACCGCCACAACCCGTTCCGGGAGAAGAAGCGCTTCGACGCGACGTCGTTCCCGGCGGGCAGCACAGGTGCGAACGCCGCGTCCGTTGAAGACGAGGAGGGTTCGGAGGAGGAGGAAGCGCTACCGCTCGACAAGGAGGAGCTTGCTGATCTGGAAGGGTAACGTTGGTCGACCTACGCGAAGTTATGCTGTGTGCGGAGGTTTGCAGCCGGAGTTGTATAGCTAACTTACAATTTAAGCTTAACACGTGTCGTTCGCCCGAAAACTCCCTCGCCCAGCCATTGCCGCTACCGGCTATATGATGACCGAGCCTGCAGACACGACGACTTGTGTTCTGGGCTGAGAGTCCAACGGGAAGTTCGTTGTATGGGCGACTTAAAACAGAGTCCCTTCGTCAAGGGGGGGGGGGGTATTCACTCCGCAGCCTGAGAGAGACTGCGACGTGGTTGTTTCCATTAGTTGCAAGATGTAAGTCGCATCTCTTCCCTGTCGACTAGGCCAAGGACGCGGATCATGATGCATGAATGCATAATGCCCGGCCCAGTAGCAGGGTCATGTACTCCACAGTGAAAGAATAACCGTATTTCTGTAACGCTTCCTCGACTACTGGGGACAGCTCCGGAAGGAAACATCGCTGGTCTTCGGAGGCAGACAACCGACGCAAGAGGGGCATCGCGGCGAAAAATGTCCTTCCTCGGCCAATATGAGTGCGGCGCGGAACCGACAAACAGATTGTCGACTGTTGCGAAGACATCGAGATTTGGTGATGTGCGTTTGGAAGGAGAAAGAGGGGGCTGCGCTGCGAATTGCAGCGACAGTCATAGCTCCTCACCTGAGCATGATTGTACCGCTTCTTGCCAGCCATCGATGCAGAGCATCTCCTCATATGTCCGCGACATGCGGACAATCGAGAGGGAATGAGACGAAGCCAAATGCTGCTTGAGAACGTCGATGAGCGGCTGTGCGCTGAGGCTACCTTGTCCGGGAATCGTGAGCGATACATCCGGAGGCAGGGTCAGATGGTTAAGGAAACCCGCCAGACTCAATCCGTCTGCGCAAAGTCGCATCGAGCAAAGCCTTGGGAGCGAGATGCTCCGAGATGGGGATGGAAGGGATGTAATATCGCCAGGGAGCCGAGGCAGCGCATGATCCAACTCAAGATGCTGAAGGCAAGACATTCTCTCGAGTGCTAGGAAGACCTCGTCGAAGTCACGAGGAGTAGACGGGGCGGAGGTAAGGAGGCATGAAGCATAAGTGTCGTAAAAGTTGCACACAGAACCGTATTGTCCCATTTCCATGTGATTTCGCGGATTTCCAGATGACGGGAAAGTGGATGGTGACCTTAGAAGAGAATAGAGGTTAGAGTCGCGTCTCGGAAACCATGTTAGTGAGAGTCAGGCAAGTGCCGGGTGCCTCGGAGCAATAGCTTGTCCAAGATCCCCGCAGGATGGGCGTTGGCCAGGATTTCACAGATATCAGTCGGATCGCCATTGACCTGAAACTCCTTCAAACGGCGATAGCTTAGGGCCAAATATCTTCAAGTACCCCACGAATACCTCCAGATTCCTGGAGGTTCGATATATGACAAATGCATATCCGGAGTGGCGCCTGTTAAGACCGATGGAGAAACTTCGTCGCCGATTGCTGCTCAGTCAGTATGAGATAACACCAAAGTCTTGGGCTGTCGTGAGCAATAATCCTCCATCTGTGGCACACGTGGGTAAACTTGAGCCAGGGATGAGCAGCTCCGAGCATTTCGCCTTGGAGATACGAGAGACGAACCGCTCCGAAGCTGCCCCGAGCCACGTGAGCGAAACCTCTCAAAAGGATCTCGTTTAGAAAACGAGATATCGAGGTCATATTGTTCAGGTGTCGCTTGAGCTCGACGATAGCCTTGTAGTGCTCCTCGATAGCCTCGTAGTGATCTTCGACAACCTTGCCAGCGCCCTCTGCCAGAGTGACCGCGCCAGCCGACATCTATTTCACCATTCAAAAAGACGTCAGACGTAGTGGCGAATTTACCGTGTTACGCACGTAAAAGAGGAGGTTCTGAAATCAATAGGGTTTCGGATGCCGTCGACGTCGCCCCAGAGGTTTGACAAAAGCAGTGTCTCAGCTACAATTTGGAAGGAATTTAGTGTCCTTTGACCGACCGTCACCGACATACCTGGGTGTCTAGGGACTGCGTCCAGAACCAATAATGGCCGGAAGGGTGTTGTTGCACTTACCATCGGATGTGACAAACATACGCAAATTCCGAGGAGTTGGCGCCTAGCCCCAGCGGCTAGCCGGACTCGACGTCCTGCCAGTGTTTTACTAACTTCTAGCAGCGGAACTCAGTCAATGAAATGCACCACAAACTTTGAGACGTCCATGAAATACCAAAATATCGGTTACGGCTCATAGTGTGAGAGTGGGAATACCAATACGACAAATGTCTCAGGAAGTGATTTGACTCGGATGCCGTCACGGGGAAGGAATTTCGCTCTTCGGTGTGGAAGCAAGGTATAGACATCCACGTTGAACTTTCCCTTACCAGATCTTCAAGATGCCAGCGTCTTTGCAATGATAGTCTGCAACAGAGCAGCTGTCAACAGTGGTACAGCCTACGCCTCACTGAAAGTGTGTTGCTGCCAGAACCCCTGCAATGTTACCAGGTGTTCCGGGAAGCTTGGAGCTTTGAGCGTGAAGCGTCGGAACAGAGGGCTCACATCATGATGTGGACAAGACTGAAATTCAATATTAAACATCTTGAGTCCGGTGAAAGCAACGAAATCTAGGCAGGAAAGCTGGTGACATCCGAGTAGTACTCCAGGTGACCATCAAGATGCCGCGACGAACGAGATTGTGCCTATGCAAGCCAACGCCTACGGAGGCAGACGTGGAATGATCAAGACCGGATTACCGAGACCTTGAGCGGCATCTCTGGCTTGCTGCTCTCCTTTCCAACGGTGGGATAAGCAACCCCTGCGTTGTTCCATACGATTTCCTTGTCGCTTAGCTCGAACTTGAAGTTCGCAACGAGCACCGAAAGTACGACCTCTAGGAGTGATGCGCGTGTCAGGGCCGATACTTGTCAAGTCGTATAGACTTACTGAGCTCAAGCTGGGCGTATTTGAAGCCGCTGTTCGAGTGTTGTTAGTCTGACAATCACTTGTCAACGCGGATACAACAGCAGACAACACGCACATGCAGGAGCGAAAACCGCCATGGAACGACATGCTGGTATCGTATACTCAATCAGCGAACGGCCGCTCATATCCAGTAGTGTCTCCTCACAGGTTCGAGTACACCCCGGGAATGCGAGCCTCTTCGACAGTCCGGGGAAGGGGCGAGAGGAAACGGTCCGGCTTCCACTCGTACGCATCCTCGCCCCAGATACTCTTGTTCGTATTGCATGCCCAGAGGTTTAGAACTGCGACTGTACCTTTCGGAACGGCGACCTCCGTAATGAGGGACCCATCCTCTCCTCGGATGGGCTCGTGTAGTGGTAAAACCGTGTCCACGGTCGGCCTGCAAATGATGTTGAGAATACCTCTGGGATGTTCCACAAATAGTGCAATCGATTGCGCACCGGCGAGCCAGACTCCTGACAGGTCCATAGCTACGGAGAATTGTGAGTAGAGACAAAGGACGCCGGGGAACGGAGACGTACAGTCGAAGAGTCTCGCGACAGACGGAATCCAAGAACGGCAGCTCGTTGAGCTGGTCATAGCTGATCTCCTCACCGGCCTGCGCTTCGAGGATTTCCTCGCGAAGTCTCTTCTGCACTGATGGATTTTCTGCCAAGAGATAGAGCAGCCGTGCAGTCGCGTTCGAAGTGGTATCCATCCCGGCAAGAATGAACGTTCTGCAGAGTGATGATCAGCAAAGGAGGCGACGGTCGTAAGGAGAATAGCCCACGAGATCTGCGCGGTCAACTCCTCATTCGACAGCTGCTCCTTCTGGGACGCCGCCATATTCGCCTTCACTGATTCGCTGTTTAGTAGTTCTAGACATGTGATGTATGGGGAATGCTATGTCACTTGCACAAAATACTCATGATATCTTTGCCTTGCGCGACCTGTTGCAACGTGGACCGATCACCCTCCTGTAGAGCAGCCCGTTTCTCGGCGATGATCTCCTCGGAACGCTTCCTCATCGTGCGAGTGATGTATCTCATACGTTGCACGCGCTTGCTCGGAAGTACGTCCGCGATCCAGTCAGCCCACTGGGGCGGCAACAGCTTGCTACCCAAGACCAGCACTGGAAAAGCGATCGATCTCCAAAGGGCTACCGCACTCAATGCGGAGCTATGACCCTGCAGTTAGTCAGGGTCGACTGGCACGATGCTGGAGTCTTTGCGACGTACAAGAACGACTTCACGGCCTCTGCGAAGTCGTTGTGGACATCTTCTACCAGCGGATCGAAGGAGTAGCCCAACGCGCCCTGGCCGACGAGTTCGAGCGCAGCCCGACCCATCCACCCTAAGATATCGATCTCCTTCGGATCATCCTGGATATCAGCGATGAGACCATCTCGGAGCTGTCATCAAGTCGCCATGATCAGCGGCGGGTTCTGTGACGCATATCCAAGGGCTGCGACGCCCGCGTACCTTGAAAGTGGTTTCATAAAAGACAGATGTGATGCTACGAAGATAGGCGATCGAGAATACCGGCGTGAGCATCTTGCGCTGCTTCCTGTGCTGAGCCCCTGCTGTTACTAGTAGCCCTGGTCCGAGCAACGAGAGACTAGATAGTCAATCAGTCGGCGTGGGTCAGGATTGGCCAGTAACCAACATTGTGACTCACTTCGCGACAGTGTTATTCTTCAGCCAAATGTCCTGATCTTTGATGGTGATGCTGTATAGAGCCTTCGGGTCGTAAACATGCAACCAAGGCCGCTATGTGAATAGCGTCCAGTGATCAGAAGCAGACTGTGGGCCAAACGCTCAACGTCACTTACGCCAAAGGGTCCAGTTATCTTGGATAGTGGACCATACGTCTCGGCAAGGTGGGCGACCCACTCATTGCTGTGCCTGCCCGAGAGCTGTTGTATATTTCCTGCAAGAATGGTCATGTGTGAGTTCAAGATGTGAGGAGAAGCGGGCAGGGTAAACCTTTGAGGAACGAAGGCGAAGGTGGGCCTGGCAGGTTTCGGAAGGGCGAAGCTGTGGAGAATTTCCGTACAGTCCATACCAGGACACTGCCTAGCAGGACACATGCGAAGATGAGAGAGCTATCCAACCCCATGGTGTAGCGTATGGTGATCCAAAGAGGTGAAGCGGCGATCAATATATACATTGGGACCGGTGCCGGGAGCGTGCGACCGGGTCGCGGTGCTGACGTGGGTCAGCGAAGTACACCAAGTGGAAGCGCAGGCACTATGGGGATTACAACGGCCAAAGTGGGTGGGAAGAGACTCATGACGAGGAGAGGAAATGTCAGCTCGGCGTCGATACTGATCCGGAGCGTCAGCGGCAGCTTCTGAACCTCGCGTTTGTACAGTACCCGGACGACCAGGATGTGTGGGAGCAGCGCTCGGCCGACAGCGTGTGGTGGAGTGCGAAGCGACCATGGAAGTCGGAAGAGGACGTGTTCCTGATGATGCGTAGTCTACATATGTGTGGGCTCCAGGCGTCCTTCGGGCCTCTATGCCTCTGCACTCAGTGTATCGCTGCGCCGCAGAAGTACAACGGCAGGATTGATGGGAACGATCGTCCATAGATATGGCCGCGGGGAGGAAACGAGCGCCGGAGGAAGAAGTCTAGATCAACAGGAAGCGTTAAAACGGATGGGAACGAGACACAGTCTACGATACATACTAAATGTAGGCTGAGGAGCGTTCGGCCAATGTATGCAAGCTGCAGCTCATTGCGCTGTAAGGCACGTAGCAGCGAGTAGTAGCCGACGTCCAAAGGTTCGGCTCCATGCAGAACTTCGCCGGAGGACAAACATCATGATACACGGCGACCTGCGAACACGGCGACAGAAGCGCAGTCTGCAGGACGGAAAAGTTGAACTTACGATGAGTATCACATTTCAGTATGATATGAGCAAAGACAGTATAAAAAGTATAGATAGTGATACAGGTGATACTCCACAAATATACTGGTGTAATTTAGAGAAGGGAAGACGAATAAAGATAAGAGAGTCGGAGAGATACTGCCTTGACCGCGATGCGCCCTACGTCCGGACCTGCCAGAGTGACGCATACGAAAGTCCGACGTACCTCTAAGCACCGGATCGGAGGATCGAAGAGTCGGGAACGAGTGAACGTACGACGAAGGACAAAAACAACGAGCGGAGATGCTTTACTTTGACCAATGCTTGAACAGACCCTTCAGAGACTTGAGCCGCGGACGCCCACTGGGTCGTGGGGTGCTCGGCTCCGAGCCGGTCCCGCTTCCGCCGCTGCCCGCGGGGATCGAAGGCCATGGAACGCCTTGCGACGTCCGGTCTCCTTCTTGGAACCTAAGCGGGTGTAGATCGTGCGTTGAGAACATGGCCGATGGGAAGAGAGTGTGTGGAATGACAGGGATGGGATCTGAGCGCCTGTTGCTTTCGCCCTCGCCTGTGCTCGTGTGCAGAACCACACCAGGATCCTCGGCGCGACCAGGCGGAGGCCCATCTGCGCCAGCGGTCGAAGGCATACTTCGCTTCAGATGGAGCCATGTCGAGGGTGGCGTCGGCTGGCGAGGCCGGGCGGTGTTGGGGGCGGTCTGGGGCCGGCGGGGAGGCTTCGAAGTGCCTAGGAAGAGAGCGTTCGCGAGCGTCGTCTCTAGCTCCCACTCTGCCTGCGCGGGGTTTGCGAGAGCGAGCGGAGCGGCTCTACGGCGTCGAGCACGAAAGGCTTCAGTTGCGGCGCGTTTCGAAGGACGTATGTGACTGCGGTAGCCAGTCATGGCGCGGACCACAGGGGATGTAGAAGAACCGACGAGAAACTCGGGAGCGCCCTGTAGGCACCGAAGGAAGCATGGACAGCACGTCAGCTGAAGTGGCATGAACGAAGATAAAGAGAAGTAACGACGCACCATGGGCTCGTAGATGTACGTATTATCTATGCTCGCACGAGGGAGGGGCGTGTTCTTCGACTTCGGCGACTGCATCCAAGACGTCAGCTACTTCCCGGCGAGAAGATTCAGCTGCTAGGCAGCGAAGGACTGACCAAATCGTGGTCGCTGCTTTCCTCTTCTCCGACGGAGGCCCTCCATTTCCCCTTATCGGACATGCCCCACGCGCCGTAGTCGCAAACCCATTGCAACTCTTCCTCATCGTCTCCCTGTCCTGCTTCTGTCTTTCCTCCAGGGCTGACCAGTGCAGGGAGGCTGCGGTGCAGTTGCTCTGGGAGATCCTCGGTGGATGGGTCCGTCACCACGATATGCGGCACAGAGAGGCTCGCGTTCGACTGGAAGGAGTCTCCGGGACTCGCAGCGAACGGCACATCCTTCCGAGTAAACATGATTGGGCGGGGCGTAATAGGGCTGCTCTCCTCCGGAATAGCCGCCGGCATCTCGTTATCACGCCATAGGTTGATCTCGATGGTGGGAAGGCCGTAGGCCTTGAACGAGGCGGCCAGCGTCTCGGCCTCTCGCGTTGTATCCTGGGACATGATAGAAGCGGCCAGCTCCTCAAGCTCGCGGATCGTAGCCTCCGCGTCGAAGGAGAGGGGACGCAGGCTCGGTATGCGCGACGGGCGTGGAAGCGGCGGGAAACGGAACACAGGATCCAGGGCTTCTTCGGAGGGAGTGGGAGGCTCTGTGGGAGAGGGCACGGGAGGAAGGTCTTTGTCAACCAGCGCTGGCGAGGAGAGCAATGAGGGCAGTGGCGACGGCGACGGCGACGCAGACACGGATGTAGATGGGGTTGGAGAGGCGCGCGATGGTTGGACGCAGTCGTCCGTGGGAGGTGGCCGGATACAGTGACCCGTGGACGCTCTTGATAACGCGGAAGGTGGCGCAGAGTGATCCATCGCGGCGCGCAGCTTCGGAATGTGTTTAACTTCTGTTGATGATGATGATCGCTCGGCCATTCGGATCCTCATTGACTCGCTCGCGCCGCGCGAGCTTGTTGGAGGCGCGGACGCCCTGTTGAACGTCGATGGGGGAACCCTGTTTGGTGCGAGTTGCGACATGGACGCGTTGGGCGGCCGCGATTGTGCCAGCTGCGACATCGAAGCGCTGCTCCGTGGATGCGGGTGGTAGGTCGGCGTGCGATGCAGAAAGAGCGGGGTCGCGCTGCGGCCTCGGCGAATCACGAGTGGCGATGTACTCGCGGTGGGGGTACTCGCCTGCGGCGAGGGGGTGTACGCCATGGCGGTAACAGTGGCGGACATAGCCAGGGAGGGTGGGGCGCTGACAACGGCAGCGCGAGCGGGAGGGCCTGCTGAAGAGCTGGCCCCATAAGATAACCTCGGGGTAGTAGAGCGGTGCACGGTCGGAGGCAGAAGTGCCTGTCGATGCCGCGAATGCTGAGAAGCCCGGTGGACAGGAGCACTGACGTAGGCACGCCGGAAACGTGTAGCTGGAAGACGGTCACAGAGTTCCCGCCGGGTGTGACTGCGCGGCTGCCGGACCACGGACATCCTGCGCGTTTTGCGAGTGCCGCTGCCAGTGCCGTGCATCCCAGCGTTCAGGGTCCGGAGGGGCCTGGGAGGCCCAGCGAGAGCGAGGGAGGCCATTTGCGTGATAGGAGTGAGAGGATCCTGAGCGCGGCTGAGGCAGAAATAAGAGTTCCCGGAGCGCGAGCTGTGCCACAGAGTTGTGCACAGAGGAAGGCCCAGCCCCAGGCACGAGTACACTCGACACCGCTACCGCCCGAGGACGGCAGTGCAGTTTGAGTTTACGGAGGACGAGCATGCGGACGGACAGATTTGCAGCCCGTCTCCGTAAGTCTGTGTCGTTCACACGATGCGCACTACTAGTGCGACCCCAGAAGCGACGCATTAAGCGCCTGACCCCAGAAGCGACTGACACGCCTCCAGGTCTCGCATTTCCCTGTCAATAAATGTACAAATGTTACACATGAGACCATGTGCTTCTGAACTATTACTTCCAAAAAGAAAGAAGGAAATCGGGAGGAATTCGCTCCCGATACAAGTCAATCTGAGTAGGGTTCCAGGGGTTTACTAACCTTGTTGAATTGCCACAAAGAGATCGGCCCTGCCGATCTTCTTGTAACTCCAAAAATTATTTCTAACATGTGCACTGAGTATTATAATCCAGTTTCCGAAGCATCACGGATTGCGGTACCTGAGGAATGGGAAGGGGGTCTCTCGTGCGTGACATTCAGCCACTGACCGAGATAAGGCTGACTTTGATTTTGAGCGCCTCGACTAGTGTTCCTTCCGCCAACGTCGTTATCAAACGACTGATAATGGCGGTGTTTAAATCGGTAGTCTTCGGCACCGTGACCATTGGTGACAATCTGTGGGCGCCTTTCCGTCGTTTCTGGGGTCAGACGTGTAATTCCACGATGCTCGAAGCAAAATTCCACCGATCGCCTTCATATTTGACGGGTATATACTGTCTACGATACAGATCAAGTGTACCAAATCTGAGATTTATGGGGGAAGATGCGATGGAGATATGCACGAAATACATTCTGGGCCGTCGCTTCTGGGGTCACACTAGTATCAGGGGGAAGAAGACTACATATCATCAGAGAACCCGTTCGACGACAGCAGCAAAAGATAGATTGGGCACATCCCGGTGAATCTGCTGGCAGTGCCGCGACTTTCCCCCTGTGCGCATACAGCAGAGTGGGGCCGCTTGTGCGGGCGCAGGACAGGCCGGGGTTACACGTTTGAGTTCTAGGGCTGGAGGGGCACCGACGTCCGATATATACCGTGGAAACCTTTGCCACCGTCACAATTGAGCCCCCTCAGACGTCGGTAGAGATGAGCATCAGACATGAGGCGAAGACGACGATGCCAACGACGCTCAGAATCGCAAGATGTGTCCTACGCATATGAATGGAGACAAACAGATGGAAGCATGAGCTCTCCGTGCAACGAATGGTTTCAACAATCATCCTGGAAGTTGCAGACTCACTGGGTAGCCCGTAAGAAGCCCCGCTGCGTCTTCATATCAATGTAGCCCTGCCAGTACTCCCACAACCCCGCCGCAATGGCGAGCACGGCCGCCATCAGCTCCATCCACGAGATCGCGAGACCCGTCTTCGATTGCGGCGTCTGTGCGGACCCAGGATCAGAGGGCGTGGGGAGACGGGTGTTGAGGAGCAGCGATGCGAACGACAGCGACAGCAGCACAGCCAGGCGAAGATGGGAGAGTAGGTTGCGCTCGAGCATAGCGAAATCCCTCCCCTCACTTCCTCTGATTTTGTGTTCGCGAGGCATGCTGACCGGAGTGCTGATGACAGCGTGGCGGGAAGCGGCAGAACGCAGGGCGCGCATCAGTCGCGCGCTAGTGGACTGCCGCCACAGACCGGCGGAGGCGTTGGACTCTGCACATGCCGGTGGAATCATCAAATTCTTTGGATGCGAGAGCAGCATTGACAGATAGACTATAGTAGTACTGGGGCGATGCTCTGACGAGGGGAACCATCGTCTACACGGTCATTGTGTCGTCCGTGCGCACACTTCTCCTCCATGACAAGTCCGTGCTATCGCCAGCCGTAGACGGATCCTCGTTCGCAGCGCTACCTGCTACAGTCATTTCACTGTTTCATGATATCACGAATTCTATCCAGAGGCGTCTTATTGCTGCCACGGTTACGAGACCCCACACGGACCTTCTGACGCAGATAGCAAGCAACGCATCCTATCCTCTGCCACCGATACATGAGTTGTTAATGCTCCGTCCTGTCCTCTCCGTTCATCATCGCCTGCAGCGACAGTCATCTGCAGCGCTCATTGTTGTGGTGCTGCCTGAGCGCCGCTTCTCCGAGATTGAGAACTCCATATTTCCCTGCCCCCTGGGTGTCCCTCAGTTCCGCCCACTATCCGAGAAGGCGGAGATGCGATGGGGCAACTACTTGATCTCAAGCATCGACACGCGTGAACAGAGGGGCGGGAGCAATGGACAATGCGTCCTCAACTAACCGGAGAGCGATGCACAGACACGGACGACGTCATATAGGCTCGTCAAATTGCGCGGGGATATAGAACGTGAGCACGCCGCCCGCGTCAGCAACGTTCCCGATGTAGACGTAGAGGATCATGCAGTGATTCGCGCATATACCTATGTGCAGCGACACGTAAGGATGTCAGCAACTTCCAGAGAGCCGAGATAGCGGTAGCAAGGGCTATGGACGAACATGCAATGGTCGTGGATGAGATGACGTGGCAGGTGAGGAACTTGGTGAGGCACTTGTGCGAGACGAGCACGCCAAACATCTCCGCTGGGTCTTTCACTTCCGACTCGTCAGTGTTCTGGGTGCCGTCGGGGTTCCTGGCTGTCGCGTGTGTGAGTGATCGAGATGAGACGTGGATGAGTGTCCAGATGGTCCAGAGGCGGAACTCACACATAGGTGGATTGGTCAAACCACTCCAGACGACCTCCAAACGCGCATTCTCTGTGCTCGTGGATAGCTGGAGCTCCCCCGAATGGTTCGCGCGGAAATGGATGCCCTCTGCAGCGAGTGAACGCAGGCGTTCGACGACGGTTCGAAGCTTGCCCAATGGAGGAAGTAGGATATGGACCTAGAGGTGACCCACGTCTATGTGAGATTCGTCGCATTTTATAAGGAGATCGCGGATTAGCTGCGACCTACGTCTGGCTCGGGACACAGAGGTTCCTTGAGACGATCAACGTCGGCGTGACGCAAGACGTCGATCAGGAGCTGCTTGTGAATCAGCGCGTTGCTGCCCATGGAAGTCGTTCCTTTAATTTCGAAGCTCAATACTGACTTCTTCTCGGGGTTCTTGGCCAGCCTAGGGGGGTCAACGATCCGACGATGGGCGGCGTCGAGAAATAGACCTACTTCATGATCACCTCGCTATCTGAAGCTAAGAAAGACGAGGTCTTTGACGAAGAGGCGGCAGCAGAATGCAGTGCAGATAGAAGCGATTCCGTGAAGACAGAAATGGTGATCTCGTTATTTGAATTGGACTGTACGCGATACTCCGTGAAGAGGGAAGAGACTTTTATTGTCCTGGGCTGTCTCGTCAGCGACCACGCATGACGACTGCTCCATGATATTACTCACGACCAGACTTGTATGCCGCCTTCGTTGGCGTCGCCTGTGCATATGATGCGCATCTCTCGTTCCCCGAACTTGATGATGCATTTTCTCTGAAGTTTCTCGACGGACTGCACTATTTCTGCGGAATTGTTAGTAAAACGCTGCTAACAAGCCACATATACGCACTGACAAAAGTGTCGACGTTCTCAATTGTGGCTCGGAACCGCATGTTTTGATGGCTGGGGCGGGCGAGCAGCAGGCTGCAGCTATTCACAGCATAGTGCATATATATACCGTGTACACTGGCAGTTCGCCTTACTGACCACACAAGCACGATGCGCAGGTAAGAGTCAATTGTGTGGGCCGGCTGCAGCGGTTGAGAGAACGATGGACGCGGTGGCGTGCGGCACGGCGTTGGTAAGATTGACCGCCCGCACAACCTGCTACTATGTCACAGCGTTACGAAGCACGTGAGTAAGGCGTCAAACTAGTTAACGCGATGAGTTAAGTCGACAAGTCCCACATGTATGTATGCTGCTAGTATACATCTGATTGGTTCCAATGCTTACCTTGTACAGGGGAACCGAAAGTGAGTGCAGCCGGCCTTGATATCTCGGCAACAACTTGACTGAATGACTGATATGTTTGCAGGACCTGTTCTCTCCGCCTGTCAAGGGTTTCGATCAGACTTCCTGGATGCCTGGGGCAATGGACCTATTTTTCATTCTGTTAGGAAGCTTGTGCACATCACCCAGTTGGGTAAACACACCTCTGGTGTCGCCAGCGGCACATTCTCCTTGTTTTTCGCTACTCGGCTCCGTCTGGCCCGCAGTGAAAGTTGTTCCCTTGGTTTCTTCTGTGCATGCGCCCCTAGATTTGTGACTGAGTTACTCTGGTGTAGCTTTCATTTGGGCATGTTGCGAGGCAAGGCCGTATGTTCCCTGCCAGCGGGAATGATATTTCGCCTTTCTTGGACAGTACCCAATTCAGACATGTCTTAAGCGCCTGAGAGATCGCGAACAATGCATGACTATCTACTTTGTTCAGGAAGGCAAATCGGAAAATCGGAAACCTGAGAACTCTAGAGACACTATATAGGTACAGTTCTCTGGTTTCGGATATGTAAGGAAGGCCCTCACTCTTGAGCCTATAGTTTTGCAAACATCTCTCCCTGCCAAAGCAGGTCAAGCGTGACAGTTCTGAGCACGTGATGTAGTAGGTTGTGCGGGCGGCCAATCTTAGCCAATTAGACGCAGACAACGTGACACTCCGGAGGATCCCGAACCCGCTTGCGGTCTGTGACGAGACGCGCGACATAAAGCGCATGGGCGCTTCTACATAACATCATGAGTTGCCACTGTCTTGTTCCTTGATGATACAACGAACTACAATAGTTGCCACTTGAAGGGACGACAAGTAACTCCTGCCCTTCAAACACACTTCAATTTATATCAGGTCCCTTTGTTTTCTTCAATGTCTGTCAGCGCAAGACACTGGACTCTCATCTCAGGCATCTAGCAGTCAACCGCTATGCCATCCGACCTGGCCCAGATGGCATCTGTCGAAAAGGCCACGATTGAATACAAGCGTCGCCTCAATGCCACAGCCCCTGTTTCCCGTCTTCCGAATGAAATCATATCGATCATTCTTATACATGTTGTCAGAGCCCTCTTCGAGAGGGATGGCACCTGCTACTCCCAGAACCTGCCGCACGCCTATCCCTGGCTCAACATTACACGCGTCTGCCATGCCTGGAGAGCGATTGCATACGACACGCCGAGCTTTTGGGCATTCATCTTCCTCACACGGGAACCTGTGGTGCACACATTTCTTGCGCTGTCCAAGCAAGCCCCACTCCACGTCGCGACCTCTGATTTTTCCGGTCGTGGAGATCACCGTGCGCTCCTCGACCATATATTCCTCCACGAGTCGCATCGTCTGAAGGAATTCCGGGGGTTTGGCGACTCTCACGCCATATGCGATTTCGCGGCCACTGTGGCAGTCGGCCAACCTGGCAGGCTCTTGGAAACACTAGAGCTCTCCAGCGGCTACGTATGGGATCGCAAAAGTCACGTCCTGCCCTCGGCTTTGTTTCAAAAGCAGCACCTGCGTCTGCGTCATCTAGAACTTCGTAGGATCCCCTTTGGTTGGGAAAACTGCCTATTCTGCGCGATCCTCACGCGACTCTCAGTCAGCCATCCCTCGGGGGTCCCAAACAGCGTCCTCGGTCCGTTCGAGCACCTTCTCTCAGCTCTAGGGAGAATGGTCGCTCTGCGATACCTGCAACTAGAATACGCCATACCAGAGCTTACCGGCGATATCACAATCCTGCCATCCCCGTCTCGTACCATCATCCTTCCCCAACTCCACACGATCGAACTCAGAGGAAAGCCTCTAGATTCCGCCAACCTCCTTAATCACCTCACCCCGCTCCCTGCGGCGGTCTCAAACCTGTCCTGTCACACTGATACCGATTCTAGCACCGCAAAACCATTGATCGATGTCCTCAAGGATCACTTTACGCGTTCGCCAGCGCTTCGGACCGTCCGCATGTATGTGCTGTTTTGGAAAGAGCTGTCCATATCGGGCTGGCTTGGAGACTTGGACTTTCGCACCGGGGCCACCCAACCGGCATGGATGACACTGGGGCTCTACCTTCCCCTATTCTCGGACGACGTAACCCTCTACTCCTTACAAAACGTCGATATGTTCTCTGGTGTTCGGAATTTAGAGGTAATAATGAGCCTCAACCAGTTATGGCCGTGGCAGGATCTATTCGCAGGCATGCCGCAGCTATACAGGCTGTCCGTCCATCACGAGCCGACCAGACACCTCCTTCCGGCTTTGTCCAGTGTGGACTCACAGGGAGCGGAGGACTCCGCCCCGTCAATCATCGCGCCTCAGCTTTGTATCCTCATGCTCACCCAAGTGCCTCTCGTCGGCTTCAGGTCCATGAGCGCCGCGACCGAATTTATCGACGAGCTCATAGAATGGTTGACCTTGCGTTGCCACTACGGCCGACCGATACAACACCTGCATCTCACTGAGTGTTTCAATATCACCGCGGCCGACATTCGGAGCCTGGAGGAGTACGTTCCGGAAGTGCACTGGGACGGATACAGTTACTGGGCATGACAGTGCTGTAAAGATTGGGGTAATTGCGACACCGTGAGTTTGCTACTGAAACTCAACTTAGGATGCGTTGATGAATTCTTCAGGCCGACAAGCAGTTGAGGAACGGGAACGCCCACCTGGAACTATGACCGTGACCCGCACGGTGAATAGTGCTGGGCCGCCGAAGCCTCGTGCTGCCGTACCGCGGCCCGTCACACAGAATCTGGTACTTGTTCGATTGCGTGTGGGAACATCCGGAGTATCGTTCTGTATCTAAACGCTTCGATGAATCTCACGTGTCTTTCTCCGTTCTTTAAGGAGAGCGTACGCGCGGTCTTTTGACTGCTCTCAGCTCTCGTCCTCGCCTGCATTATCATGGTTGAGTCTCCCACCTCATCGCAAACGGCAGCGCCTGCTCCACGCTTGGCATCATCTCCATTCGACAAGCCTGACGCAGATATCGTCCTACGCAGCGCCGATGGTGTCGATTTTTGCGTACGCAGCCACATTCTCATCGAAGCTTCCCCAGTCTTCGAGTCCATCCTCTCCATCCCGCAACCCCAGATGGACGGCCGCCCAATCATCGGCCTTACCGAGGACCACAAGACCCTCGACATCATCCTACGCATCTGCTACCCCATCGTGAAGCCCGATTCGCCTCGCAGCTTGGGAGAGATCGAGCTGGCGGTGAAGGCTGCGCTGAAGTACGATACGGAGCTACCTTTGTCGGTGCTGAAAGGGGAGCTGTTTTCACTGTCTCCTACCAATCCTACCGCAGTGTGGGCTATAGATTGCCGCACCGGCCTGGAGGACGTCGCACGCCGCGGTGCAGCCGAGATTGTCGTTCGTCAGGCACCCCTCAATGTTGCAGTCGGCGCCCTGGAGGGAGTCTCCGCAGGGGACTACTACCGCCTGCGCGAGTTCCATCGCAAGGGAGGTAAAGTCGAAGATAGCTTCCGGCTCATTTCTTCCTCGACCGAGACGCCTTCTGAGGCCTCTGGGACAAGCGGTTATGTTGCCGCTCCTCCTGAGGCCCCGTATCCGGACCTGGTGTGTACCTCTTCCGATGGCATAGAAGTCCCGGCACACAGAGGTTTCTTAGCCTCCGCGTCGCCGGTCCTGAAGAGACAGATCGATGATCTTTCCGAACCCACCTCCGAATCAGATCTCCCTGTCCTCCGGCTGAGCGAGCCCGCTCAGCTACTCAAGTCATTGTTGGGGTTATGCTATCCGGGGCAGCTACCGGACTATCGACCGTACCCCGCACAACTCGCCGCTATCCTTGCAGCGCTTACGAGGTACGAGATGCAAAGCCTTCGCATCGCCATTTTGCCACAGTGGGAGGATCTGGCGAGAGCCGAGCCCTTGCGGGCTTACCTCATCGCCTCTCGTGCACAGCTGCGAGATTGTGCCACGACGGCGGCAGAACACACGCTGCACACCCCTCTCGAAGGGGGCTATGTGGCTGAAATGGAGAGTTCCCCAGCACGGGCTTACCACCATCTTCTTACCTACCACGCGTCCTGCCGCGCCATCGCAAAGGAAGTCCTCCAGTCTCTACTGACCACGTCGCTAAAGGTATCGTCGGGCAACCCGCCTACACGAAAAGTACCTCGCCTGGAAGGCTGGGACGTAGAGTATGTCGACTCCAAATCGCCAGTGTCCCAAGATGCCTGGTTGACCACATACGTCGAGCAACTCGTCGCAAAGGCGGACATCAACCCGAAAGACATCCCGCTTGTCCCATCAGCTTTCGACGCGGCAACGACAGCTAGGCAGTGGTGCACGCGTTGCGCCACCCTCGCTCAAAAGCTGTCTGTTCAAGATGCAGCGGTACGGGAAGCAAGAAGGCGAATTTCGCAGGTGAGCGTACTGAACACTCTGCGTCGTACCTCGCGCTCATTCCGACTAGGTGGAACTGGTGTTTTGATAATGCAGTTCCATTCCATTCAGGCCCTCTCCATCCACAGGACCGCTTAGTATCGTTGGAGTGATCTTAATGTATGCGCGCTATGCCCGATACATTCCACGTCGCACGTCCTATGCGTGACAGATCACGTACTGATGAGAATCCAAAAGCGAACACCGAAAGCAGTCAACATGAAGAACATAAACAAACCTTCTATCAAAGCCTACCGTAGCCTACGTCCTATGTAGAGCCTACGACAGAGGAAAAAACGAATACGCCAGCGCTATAAAGTACACTTTCTGTGCATCTGCACACAGTAACATAACTGTGATAACACATCGTGGTGTCCAAGATCCCAAGAGTTACCCAGTCCGTCCAACCCCGACCCGGGGCTCTACTCCCGCACCCAGATCCCCCTCCTCCGCTCGACCTGCCGTGCGCGCATGCGCTGCTGCCTAAGGTCGTTCATCATCTCCCGCGCCACGGGCGACAGCTCCGAGCTCGACGCGGGCGACGGCGGCTCCCCCACTTGCAGCATCCGCGTGCGCATCGGCGTCGCCACCGCCACCGCCATCGCCATCGTTCCCGCAATCGCGGACGCGGAGCCGGACTCGCAGGCCGCGTGTTTTCGGCGCGGTGCTGACTTGGACAGCGAGGCAGGCGGGCTGGGCGTGTTCTCCTTGTCGCGCTTGTGCCACCCCTGGGCCTGGGCGACGTGCTCGGGCTTCGTGGAGCGCTTGCGCGAGGGTGGCGCGGGTTTGGCCTTGCGATCGTCCTCCTTCGAAGAGGACGGTCCGGCGGACGAGGAGGGGTCGGGACCCCTGAGGAACGCGGCGGTAGCGTCCTTGAGGAGCGCGTCGGCGGCGCGGCCGGACGAGCGAGAGGTCGCGCGGCGGTGCTGCCGCTGGGGTATGTTGGTAAACGCTTCGCGAGTGCGCGCGGGGACTTCTGCGGGCTGGGGTACGTTGTCGGAGCTCGGACTGGAACCCGACTGGTTCTCAGGGTATGAGTTGTTGTCGTACTCGTCACGCGCGACTGGAGAGGGCGCGTCGCGCTTGCAGGTGGACGACGGGCGCGGGCGCGGGCCGCGCGGGATCTTGCTTGGGGGCACTTTCATGCTGTTGCTGCTCGAGAGCGACGAGCCGGTGGCGTGGCTTGCAGCCAGGGCAGCACCAGTATTTAATGTGACCTCGGTGGGGAGGCCGTTATCGGAGCAGTCTGTTGCCGAGTCGGCGGCATTAATCAAGAGGTTGAGCGAAGTCGTAGAGGCCGCGAAGGCGGTCGAGAGTTTCGTCATCGTCGCGGTCTGGATCTGGGCGTGAGAGGCGGTGGAGTGGGTGTCGCTGGAGGTCAGTTGGGTGGAGGAGTGGCTCGTGTTGGCCGAGTGTATCGCGTCGGTGGGCTCGCCGAGGGAAGTGTCACGCGGGTGCAGTAAGTCGTCTTCGGGGTGCTGTAGTACGGGCTCCCCGGTGTTTTCGGGAGTACTAATCATCTGCGGAAGGGGAGGGAGGTCTCGCTCTTTGATGGTAAGGGTATTCCGGCGGCTGAGGAAGCCGAAGACCTCGGACGCCCGCTGAGGCGTCTTCGGATCGGGAAGCAGAGGCTTGGAAACGGGGATGACCTCGATCACGGGTACGTCCCGCACGTTTTCCTCGCTCACTTCGACCTCCATAGACGATATCGCAGGGTAGTTCATGCTCGAGTCGGGGTGGAGGGAAGAGAGGGTGGCGTCGGCTGTTGCAACACGTGGTTCAAAAAGAGCATCGGTAAAGAGAGTCTCCTTAGGCGTCTCGAGTTGGGGAGTAATAGGAGAGGGAAGAGGAGAGTCATCGCCAAGTTGTTCGCTAAGAAAGCAATCAGCTCAGATGGCCATGATTGAAGCCAACGATATAAACATACTCCAAGAATCGTTCGGCCCAAGAAATATCGCCTTCAGTAGTGTTGTTAACTGCGAAGGCAGGTTCACCGAGCAGCTGCCGGAGAGTGGATCCTGTACGCGGCCTAGGCTCGCGGCCCTCAGATACATCATGAATAGGCGCTGGTGAGGGTGGTGAGTTAGCGAATGCATTCGAGTCAAGACACCCATGGTCGTCGTAGAGATCTAGGAGGCTAGCGACGGAAGGGTCCCTCCGCAGTTTGCACAACCTGGACGTGTCTTTCGGCGTGAAGTTGACGGCCTTGAGACGAGGCTGCTGCTCAGGATCCACATAGTCCTCATCGTCGGACGTGTCACGCTCCGCGGGCTCTGGTGTAGAGGACACTTGGTTTTTGCGCGCTTTGGTGGGCGAAGCGGGAGGATTCGCTCGTGGGAACTCGGTGCGCGAATGTGTCGTGCGACCATGAACCTTGACAAGGTACGTCCCACTGCGCGAGAGGCCGGGAGTGGTTGCGACGGTCACGAGGGAGGGAGAGGGAGTTAGGGGAGGGGTAGCCAAGAGGTCGTTCATTGAATGGGCTGGGTGTATGTGAGATATTGTGAGACGGGACAAATTGGAGAAGTACTCACGAAGAGGGGGCATAGGGGGGAGCTGGGTGTAGTCAATGGCGGACATGACGGAGAACTTGGTTGATGATGAACGTAATAACCTGTTGGCGTTGGAGTCCGCGTCCTGGGCCGGCCGTTGAGTTAGGATGCGACCTTCGGCATCGACTGTGGCATGGGCCGCGCTCTGCTTCTTCTTGTTCTTCCTGGATTTGCTGCTACCCAAGGAAAGAAAACGTTTGAAGAAGCCCATGGTGGTAGGATGGGGGCGATTGCTTGACGGGGGGGTATCGTGGCGGACTCGGGGTCGTAAGGGGAGAGCAAACGGTGAGTGCTCCAATTCGAACCATCCTCCTTCAGACGCCCAAACAAACACGCGCCCACATCGCGGTACCGCGTCCTGTCACGGGGTCGCGTCTCTCTTTACGTCACCGTACCTTGCTGTTGAATGTTTGAACATTCAGAGCCGTCTGCGCATGTTTAGACGTTGCGCTACTTTTGTACTACGTACACGTTAGAGTCAGGGCCTCCATGTCGGATGAAGCTCTAGTATGCCTTGGGGTACCCTTTCTGGGACCTTGAAACGGGGCTGCCATGGAGGTTTCCACGATAGCCTCCTCAATCGCTATGTCCTTCAAGACATCTAGGTGCTGTTTTCGTATGCAGCCTCCGATCTGGACCCTTCTGCTCTTCACTTCATTGATGTATATTCCTGTTACTCGTAATGACGCACTGAGCTTGACCGTCCCTCCTACAGCCTCAGATGTTCCTCGCCCCGTGCGTTCTAAGACGTTCGTACCGCACGTCGATCGACCATCGCGTGTGCTCTCACCCTAGCGGCCGGTAAGGTTTGCGAGAACCGAGGGAACAAGGCATGAGGACACACTCCTCCAACTGTGAACATGAGGTGACCGGTACCTTTGCATGATGCATGTGCGTAGGGATGCCTTGCCAATCCTGACGTACCTTTGTAACTCCAGGGAGTAGAACGTAGGTGGGATCTGTCTGACCGGCGAGGGATAGATATGATTCAGGAATAGAAAAGACACCGGGCGAGCCTCTCCGGGAGTGACGGTCGTAGTATGGATCATCGAACAAGGCTATACAGAGTACCGTAAGCGAGATCGAGGCCGTACTGCCGGTCAAGACACGTTATGTACGTTCCGATGTAGACGTATGAGATGCGAAGCCAAACGTGGGGATCATTGGTATACTGCACAGCTTTGTCTACAGTCTTGATTCTTCCGGGATGATGTCCTGAAGCCGGTGAGCCAAGACCAACCCATTGTCTGCAGCAGACCACAGCATTTCCCCGTCCGGAGTGAACGCAACATACTTGACCTAGCCGCCGTGGTCGGAGAGCGTTGCCAAGCACGATCCGTCGCTCGTCCTCCACACCCTCACCGTGCGGTCAGAAGATGCAGAGGCGATAAACCTCCCGCACGGGGAGAAGCATGCCTGGTGCACCAACGTCTCGTGTCCGTCAAACGACTGGTCCATGGCACCGGCGCGTGCATCCCGTATCTGTACCGTGGCCCGTGACGCCGAGAGCAGCAGCCGACCATCCGGGGAAAACACGACAGTGTTGAGCCAGCCTCCGTGCGCCTCACAGAGCGGATACTCCTGCTGAGTTGCTATGTCCCAAACACGGATTCTCCCGGTTTGAAATACCACAGCGACGTGCGTGCTCGAGGCGCTGAATACGGCGCTGAGGGGATACTCGTGCTCGCGATCTCGCTGGAATGGGAGTGTGAGGTATGCACCAGATAGAACGTCGTTCTGGCAAAGGTGACACCCTTCCCCGTCTATGTAAAGAAGCCAGTGGCCATCAGGAGAGAATAGAGGCTTTTTCTGTGTTGTAGGGATATCGCCGTGACGGTCAAGGTCAAGAGGTAGCGGCTGGAATGTTCGTCCATCCCACAGTAGCACAGTACCGTCGGGGTCGCGGGATGCGATGCGAGCACCGCTGCTGGACCACGCGCAGCCTGGGGACATGGAAGCAGTGTGGCCTTCGAGGGTGGCAACTTTGTATGAGCTGCCGCCGCTGATGTCCCAGATTGCGACTTCTCCATCTGCACCTGCAGACGCGAGGTGTCGTCCGTCTGGTGCGAATCCAAGATCCAAGACCTCCCCGTTGTGGGAGATCCACTCTTGCGAGATACATCCATCTCGGGCATCCCAGAGGATGATGGTGGTGTCCAAAGAGGCCGTCGCTACCCACCGGCCATCTGAGGAGACCCCGAATGCGGTGACACTCGAGTCATGCCCGGGTTTCCCAGCTATTCAAGTCAACGCCCAACTCGAAATCGTGGTCGCTGAATGATACTTACAGTATCTGACGTCTTCCGTCAGCGCCCATTTCTCGCTTAGTGGACGGAAGCACCTGCGGATCTCGTCCGACCAGGAGATCGTTTTCCGGGCATTCAGGACTGGGCCACCAGGGACCGTCAACAGTACACGATGGAGGGGATATCTGAGCAGGACCTTCTCCAATTTTTCACAGAGCTCCAGGCTGGCAGGTTGACAACAATTGTTGTATAGGGACCCAATGGATTCATCCCAGAGGACCAGAGTGACATCGCTTATGGCTGTCTCCTTCGAGTTGGATAAGACGCGGATAGCTTGATGGAAATCCTCGATCCGAGCTTTCATCCACCATGTTAGGGAGGTCTGATGACCCTCGCCTGATTGTGGAGGCGGGACGGATTCTGATTTGGAAATCATGAGCGATACAAATAGGAGATGAAGTGCACGCGTACGCTCCCCAATTACAAGCGGACTCGTGATCGCCAACCGAGCTGTCTGAAATAGGAGCTCTGTAACATGCTGGCAGACACCTCGAAGAATCTGAAAGGAAACCAAGAGTGTCACAATCGAGGAGTACAGATGACCATGTTGACCCTCACATTTAGCGTTCGTAGCTGTAATTGAGGAGATAAATGATCTTGAACCATAGGAGTGGTTTCAGATGTAGTCAGAGACGAATCCTCGCAGGTGAGGCTTTCGACGTTTGGAAAGGCAGAAAGGAAGTGGAGGAAAGCGTTTCCCGCTCGGAACCAAGTGCGGCGGATAGTCAGACTCCGGATGCCGGTCACGAATGGCCTGTGGTAGAGATAATTGGGCAGGGCGGGCGGGGGCCAGAGCCCATTGAACCCAGGGATAGTATCAAATGTGACATGACGGAGACTGGGGAGGATGGACAGCAGTGAGAATGGAGAGCAACCATTCCACGGAAACGACAGAGATTGCACGATAGGCTGAAGGTGTGACTGAGCTTGGACAGAGTCGTAGAACCCCTTGAGCTGTGTCGCACATCGGAGCTCAACATTCGTGAAGAGAATAAAGAGGCTACGAGGATGGAGCTGGCTGCAGGTGAGGGCGAAGGTGCGTAGCGTGTTCTTGTCGCCGGAGCAGAGATCGATAACTCTCTCGATGACCTCCCATGGAAGCGCCGGGGACCGCACGGTGGATGACACCGAAGGTAAGGCATGAAGGGAGTTCGCGAAGTCGTCCGGGGAAGACATGAGTAGCCAATGAGTTGTCAGAGGGCACTTGTTGTCGGCGAGTGACACGGTGAGCTCGAGGTGTGCTAGGCCCGACAAGGCTGTGCCGAAATCACGAGGCAAGGCATCTCGACTTAGGGATCGCAATCAGATCATGCAGGCAGACATCTCTTCCGAATGTTACAACGTCTCATACTTCTCGGAATGCGTCCATTGCAATGTGCTAGTCGTCACCAAGCTAGGACGATAACACTGATCTCAACTCCTGTTGTTTTCAAAAGACAAAAATCTACATGAATCCCAAAATGTAGCATACATCCCGTCCGTAGGAAAGCAGAGTGCAGAAGATGCACACTACAACCAGCGGTCCACGGGCCGCGATCGTTCTCATGATCGATACCTCCCTGCGAAGCGATCATCCTCTTCGACAGTCGGACACCATCGACAGTGTCCAGCCTGTGGCACTGGGCAGCAAAGGCAAAGGAGGTGTAATGATGTGCACATGCACTGATACATAGGCTTACGCTGGTGAGATCTGCGTCCAAGACAAGACAGTGCGTCGGAGATGGATGCGTGCCTGCTCCTTTCCGCCTGGACAGGATTATTGAGGATGCTATGTTGGCCTGAGCAGAAGACATACAAGCGACACGCGTTCAAGGCTAGTAACGTGTCTTGTGCGAAGATGTTCTGTGAACACGCGTCGTACAACGATGAGCCAAAGACGCAAGAGACGTGCAACGTGCGAGAGACAAGCCAGTGGCCGGAGTGGAGAAAGCCTAGGATGTAATGCCTTCGGGAAATACAGGCACGTCCGGCCTGGAGTGCTGCTTGCGACCGGTCCATACCATGCAAGCAGCCTGGTGAGACGGATGTCCTTCAGATTTGAATCGGCGAAAACCTTGACATGGAGATCGTCCTCGAGAGCTGCACGACGAACATCGGCTGGTGGTGGGCGTTGGCGAGGAATCGGAGGCGCGTGGTGAGGTAGTTCTGGGCGTCGGAGACATGTGTCAGCAAGCGTCCTTCCTTCAACGAGTCGGGATGCACAGGGAACCGTGTTCGCCTTCGACTAGCTGGTATGTGAGTGACCGTAGTCTCCGCGCACCGTCCACAACCACCGACTTGTACAGCTCGCGGCGGATTCATAACACGGCTATGTCAGGACCAAGCCTTGCTGCACTTGATCAGGGCCAGTGGACGGTGATTTCCGAACTGCTATATGTAGTTCAGCCTGTGCCCGGCGACCGCGCCGTGCATAATACAGTGACAGGACACCCCGCAATTTCTCCGTGAGGCTGTCTGCGAGCTGTGAACCAGCGCGAGGCTGATGGCGGAGGAGGGGCGGCGGAGGGGCGGCGGAGGCTGGGCCCGTTTGCGTGCGAGCTTGGTGAGAGCCGGAGCCCACCGGCCCGCCAGCCTGCCTCTAGCCATTGGCCACCGTCCGAGGGCCTCACCAGCTCTCGAAGACGTTCGTCCCGGACCATAAGTACTCTACATGCCCCTCGCCCATATAAATTCTCCGCAGATGGCCTTCGCACTCGCCCACGTTCATTCTCAGTCCCCCTCCCATCTCCAGCGATCCTCGCCCTTCCTCATCTCGGTGCCTACCAGCATCGCCAAGTCATGTCCTCATCCATCGACGATCCTCTCTTCCTCGGGCTCGATCTCTCTACCCAGGGCCTCAAGGCAGTCCTTATCGACTCGGAGGGCACCCTCATTCACGAATCCTCCGTGAACTTCGACCGCGACCTCCCCTCCTATCGCACGACCAACGGCGCCATCCGCGGCCCCGACCCCGGCGAGGTCACCTCCCCCGTCCGGATGTGGCTCGACGCGTACGACCTCATCATGGAGCGCATGCGCGCCGCTGGCGTCGACTTCTCTCGCATCCTCGGAATCTCAGGCGACGGCCAGGTGCGTATGCCCTTGACGGCTTTACGTACACGAGGTGTGCTGACCTGCGCACGTTCAGCAACACGGGTCTGTCTACTGGTCAAAAGACGCAGAACGCCTGCTCGCCTCGCTCGACGCTTCGCGCCCGCTTGCAGAGCAGCTTGAGCCTGACGCCTTCTCGCTGCCCCGCGCTCCCATTTGGCAGGACTCGTCTACGACACGCGAATGCCGCGAGCTCGAGGAGGCGATCGGCGGCGCGCAGGCCCTCGCAGATCTTACGGGCAGCAGGGCGTATGAGCGATTTACCGGAAATCAAATCTCCAGGGTGAGCGGTGCTGCTTCTTGCATCTGTTTGCGTGCGCTCTCTGCCATCCTATCTCCCTCTTTCCTCAATTTGTGTCTGCTAGGTTCGAGATCTTTCCGACACTCTCGCGCTCTCGGACTCTCTCCTTCTTTCCCGAGCTCTACATACGCTCTCACAAGTCTAATATCGAACACTAACAAACTTTCCACACAGATCCGCCGCGTAAACCCGGACGCATACAATGCTACGGCCCGCATCTCCCTTGTATCTTCCTTCATGCCCTCGCTGTTCCTCGGTTCCATCGCGCCGATCGAAGTCTCGGATGCGAGCGGGATGAACCTGATGAACGTCCTGACGTGCAAGTGGGACGACCGGCTGCTCGAGGCGTGCGGCGGACCGGAGCTGCGCGCAAAGATTGGGCCAGAGCCCGCGCCCGGCGGCGAGTTCCTCGGAGCCATCAGCCCGTACTGGGTCCGACGCTGGGGCTTCAACCCAGGTAAGCCGCACCATTCATACCGACCCAGAGTCCGCGCATATACCGATGACGCGCCGCAACAGAATGCCAGATCGCACCGTTCACCGGGGACAACCCCGCGACGGTCGTTGCGCTCTCTACTCCTGGCGACGCCATCCTCTCCCTCGGCACGTCCACGACGCTCCTCCTCTCGATACCCCCCGCCGAGACCGCCCCGGCGCGCTTCACGACCTCGCACCTCCTGTCGCACCCGACCACCCCTGATGCGCACATCGCGATGCTTTGCTACAAGAACGGCGCGCTCGCGCGCGAGCAGGTCCGCGACCGCTACGCCGACGGCGACTGGACGCGCTTCAACGCGCTCGTAGAGGCGCGCCCCGCGGGCAACGCCGGCGTCATGGGCCTTTACTTCCCCCTCCCCGAGATCATCCCCCCGAACGTCCAGGGCAGCTTCTTCTTCTCCTACCCCACCGCGCCCGCCGACGACGCGCAACCGGAACCGGAGCCGATTGCGGAAGAGGAGATGCCCGCGTCCGCGCACCCGCGGGCGATCCTCGAATCGCAGCTGCTCTCGATCCGCGCGCGCATCGCCGCGATCCTCCCTCCGGACGCGCCCCCGCTGCAGCGGCTCGTGCTCTCGGGCGGGTCGTCCGCGAACGCGGTGATCCGGCAGGCGGCGGCGGACGTGTTCGGGATGCGCGTGTTCGTCGCGGGACAGGAGGGCGCGGCGGAGGGCGGCGCACAGCTCGCGCGGTACGCGTGGTGGCGGCGCGAGAACGGGGGCGCGGGGAGCTTCGAGGAGATGCGCGCGATGGACGGGGAGGGCGCGCGGAGGAAGTGCGTCGCGGAGCCGGACTGGGGGCGGGAACGGGTGTACGCGGGCTTGGTGGGCGTGTATCGGGCGGCTGAGGACGCGGTGGTGCGGATATGTGCTGAGCGTGGCCAGGGTGCGTGAGGTGTCTATCGCTCCGATTGGGGACGGACTGCTTGCTTATGTTTCCTGCTGTGCGCTCGTGTAATCACTGCCAGGACCCTTGTTGGTTTGATTTGGTGTTTATTTAGATGTGCTGTAAAAAGTAATACCTGGTAAGATTGGCCGCGCGCACAATCGACTACTATGTCACAGCGTTACAAAGCACGTGAGTAAGGCGTCTAACCCGTTAACGCGATGAATTATAGTCGACAAGTCTGCAGCGAGTTGTGCTCTGTTAGGAAGCCTGCATGTGTTATGACTTCATATGTTCGCAGGATCTGTTCTATCTGCTTGTCAAGGGTCACAACTGTGCTTTCCGGATGCCTGTGGGGTCTCGCGCTCTGTCAGGCAGCATGCAGGAACCACCCAGTCGGGGAAGAAGTGTACCTCCGGTGTCGACAGCAGCGTATTTTCCTCAATTTACGCCCCTTGGATCTGCATAGTCTGCTGTGACTGTTCTCCCGGTTTTTTGGTAATTGCTCCTTGTGGTTGAGCATGAGTTACTGTTCCTTGGATTTTGTTCAGGCGTGTTGCATGGCAAGGTGTATGTATATGACCATCTTGAACGATATTTCGCCTTCTTTGATAGTACCGGATTCAGACATCCTGTAAGCGCCAGAAGAATGGCGAACGATCCGTGTCTATCTACTTTGTACACAGAGAGAAAATGGAAAATCGAGAACCTGAGAAATTTAGCGACACTGTATAGCTACACTTCTCAGGTTTTGGATTTTTGAGAAGGGAGCTCACTCTTGAGCCTATAGTTTTTCAAACATTTCTCCCCGCCAAACCGCCAAACCAGGTCCAAGCGTGACAGTTCCGGGCACGCGATGTAGTTGGTTGTGCGCGCGGCCAATCTTAACGATGAGAATTGACTGATTTCGAAGGGTAGAGATCAATAGCGCGGTGTGCACAGAATGTGGCTCATCTCCAGACGGAGAACGGGTTTCATCTAATTTCTGCCGAATAACAAACCATATTCATCACATCGTCGGCGGAGTGCTGCAGGTTCGGCGCTTATTCGTCCATCTTAGCTACTACCACCAGGTGTGCCTTGAATTCTCTTTCCTGAGTAGCGGAACTCCCACTGATATATGCCTTCTCACAGCGATCATTCATGCCGGTCACACGATACGGGCCAAAACTGAACTGCCTCCTCTTCCTCCTTTCAATAACCCAGCCACAGACATCATCCTCAGAAGTAGCGATGGCATGGACCTCCATGTACACAGCATCATACTCGTGGAGGCATCTCCCATATTCGCCGACATGCTCTCCATCCGCCGACTGGTCAGAAACGCGTCCCAGGGGAGCAGCGGGCAATCTTCCGGAGGCAAGGCTGTCGTGGAACTCGCGGAAACAAGCGAACCCCTAGACCATCTTCTCCGCCTGTGTTACCCCGTGCGCGATCCCGCACTGCACACACTCCTGAGGACATACAACCCGTCCTCCGCGCAGCGTTGAAGTACGAGATGGACGCGGCGACAGCTACTATGAGAAAGAGGCTGAGCGCCCTCGTCGCCAGCGAACCTCTTGAGGTTTGGGCTGTCGCCTGCTCCGTCGGACTGGAAGAGTTAGCGCAACAAGCGGCCAAGTTAGTAAAGAAGCCCATCCCGGGAGAAAAGCTACCTGGCGTGTTCAAAGAAGTGACCGCTGGAGCGTATTTCAGGCTTATAAAGGTCTATCGCATACACCGACGTGTCCCGTCGACCTTCAAGTTCTGCGAGCCGAGTCCAGAACATGCCAAGCAAGGTCTTGGTCCCAAGGGGCCTCACTATTCCACCGCTTCCCCCAAGTTCACCGAGCGGCCCTTTGTGGATCTCGTTTGTCGCGCCGCAGATGGAGTGGAGTTTCGGACGCATAAGATCATCCTCGCGGCCTCTTCGCCGTCTTTGCGCCAGCGCATCCTCAGACTTCCTGCCACCGGGATCTCCGATGGTGATCTCACGTTGCCTGTCCTCGCATTGGACAGCAGCAGCGAAGACCTAGAGACCATTTTAGAGCTCCTCTACCCCGGAAGCGTGTCCGTACATGCTAAGGCGAACGCGCTTCATCTTCCTCCCGGCCGTTTGCTTCAGCTGGCACAATGTGCCCGCAAGTACAAGATTTCTTTCGTCGACGACGCGATCCTCACCCAATGGATCAAGACAGCAAGTTACGAGCCCATGCTGGCCTTCTTGCTAGCGACGCGTCTCGGGTTAACAAGATATTGCCAGGTGGCTGAGAAGGCCCTCCAGAGGAAGCCCCGTTCCAACGATCATTGGGTACCGGAGATGGAATCTATGCCTGCGTCAGCGTACCATACTGCACGGAGGCTGTTTCAGACTTCCGTATTCTCGGACTCAGACGATGATATATTTGGCGAGTACGATGACAAATTCAAGCGGGACGACATAAACGACTACTCATCCGACCCCTACGATGATGTGCTCACCTCAGACGATGATGTGTTGCTACTCCCCCCTCGCAAAAGGCGTGCGTTATAAGCGGATGTTACGACCCATATGTAGATGGCAGACAGTAGGATTTCCCACAGCTGACAAAGCTTGTACGGGGAGACCAATGACTATGAACCTCGAGGTGAATATTGACACAAGGTGCAGGACAGTCATCATCATCATGTTCACAATGACATCCATCGTGCCAAGAACCACCAGCTCTCAAAGGCACTTGTGAACGTAAGGAAATCGGAAATGCAGAACTTCGTCGCCTAGTTGCAAGGGGATAACCTTTCATGACGCAATTGGAGGAATGGAAAAGGATGAGAAATACTGTCCATACGGCGACAAAGTGATGTTCAAGGGAGCAACACTGCATGTTGAGTTCGCAGGTGCTGATGTTACGAAGGTATTGCCGATGAGGGCCTAGCTTATAGAGCACGCAGTTGCGGTGGTCGTGCGCGGGGACAAGCCCCAGTCAAATGTGGGCGAAGGTAGCTCTCCACTTGCGGACGGATTCGCGTGAGAGACAAGAGTCGACAGATCGATGGCGTACTCCCATAGCGCTATCGCATCGTACTCAAGGTCAACAGCATGCGACTCGCATGTGTTTTGAGCGAGGACTATTTGGTTTCGTTGGATGCCCAACGCGTAGTGGAGCGGGCCGCGACGAACAGCAACAGTGGGTCTGAGAGTCGCCTTGCGCATCGTTATCGTTCAGTAGCATAGCGCGGGTCTTCGGGATACCGGATGGCTAGAGGATGTCCCTAAATCAGGTAGCACTGGTTAGGTCCGCACAGTCACTCGTAGGCAAACCACTTGCCTATGCGCCTCGATCTCGCTACCCTCTGCCTCAGGTGGCGTACTACTAGTAGTAGACCTGGTAATCGCCTGTACACCTGTGAGTAGAGCACTGGAATTGTGACGGTAGAATGAAGCAGCTGGCGACGGCTATACGCATTGGTGTAATATGTGCAAGGAAAGGTAGTCAGTGCAACGCAAAGTCATGTACATCCGTGGTCACTTGGGCGTCTCCACATTTCCACGCAACGGTACAACCTTTACCTAGCTATGGTGTGTAGGCTATCATAACAGCCCCTGGTTCACATGCTACATATACATCAGGCATACGACGCGAACGAGAGTAATCACCTGCAGGCCCTGTGGGTACAGGACTGCCGCACAGCTCACATGCCCAACCCCAGCTGACACCATTTCATATACTCGGTAGTCGTCGGGTCCCACCTCCACGAACGCCAGTACGGCTCGCAGTCCTCTGACTCGTCCAAGCAGATGGACGACAATTGCGACATCCAGTGGTCCCACAGCCCATCCGCGCGCATATTCCCCACCTTGATCACCTCGCCCGCGCTGTCGTAGACGTGCAGCATGCCCGACCTCTTCCTGGGCCACAAAGCGCGGCCGAGGACGACCCGCGTCAACGGACGGCCCGCGGCGGCGCGGGACGCCGCGAGCCGCAGCGCGCACACCGCGTCGTCGTCGGTGACACAGTCGACGCGGAGCGTCGTGAGCAGCGGGCAGGCTATGTCCTCGGGCGCCGTGCCCTCCTTCACCTCGAGCGCATCGAGGATCCCGGAGTCGGACAGGCTGACCGTTTGCTCGGGGTCCCTGCAGATGACGAGGGACTCGAGCTGGGACATGTGCGAGAGGAGGCTCTCGGGTCCCGTCTTCCACACCCATTCTGCACTGGACTCTGTCCATACTTCGCGCGCGTTAGCGAAGACGGACGCCTGCGAGAGGGCGGTGGAAAGATGGAGAGTGTCCTCCGGGACTGGGCCTTCGAGCGGGGGAGTCCTAACGTCGAGCCGAATATAGCGGCCCTGCGCCGCGTTGAACACTTGGAGGCAGAGCAGGTTTGGGTCGCGAGCGTATAGGGCGTTCCCGTCGTGATGTATGCGCCAGAACGTAGGGCCGTCTGTCAGGCCAGCGACGTCCATACAACTGGATATATCGGAGGGAAGGACTTCTCCAAATCGCATCACGCACGAATTTGGGATAGAGAGGCGTGAAAGGAACGTTCGGTAGAAGTCCATCTGCCTGATCCTGGCTTCCTGGAGGCCGTGGAGGGTGTTCTCTAATAGTGCGAGTCTCTCGAGATGGTGCAGCACCACGAAGCCTTGCCCGGTATCGGTGTGTTTGACATCGGATGCTCCGATGCCGACCAAGTACAGCGTCCGTAAGGCATAGCATCCAGACAGGAAAGTGAACAGATCTCCTAGGGAATAGCTGGAGCTTTGGGACCCGCCGTGAGGGTGTTCGATGTGTAACCTGATAAGTGATGCAAAGCCGGAGGATGGTATGAACGTGGTGTTTGTCAACGACAGGGACTCCAGTCTAGGGCACCCGCCTGGTATAAGGGGCACTACAGGATGGTCTGATAAGCAGCTAGTGAAGATGCAGCTCCGAAGACCAGGTAGTGATGTGGACGCAATGATATTGATGGAGCTAGGACTTTCGATGGAAGCGAAGAAGGCCTCTTGAACACGAAGGTTATGTTCACCCAAGAGGGACAATGTTTCTGGAGAGGGATTGTGGGCGAGGTAAAAGTTGAGAGGTCCATGAGAGCAGCGATGCAAGTAGCGAGTATAAAGCGGAGGTCTTCCATGTACGTTGGAGCTGTTGTTAACGATCGTGGACCACAGCCGCGGAGTGTGCAAAGCGACTTCACGCCAATGGTGGCATGTTGCAGTTATCGGAAGGAGGTCGACGGTGTGAATAAGTGCTTGTGCATGGAACGTCGTGAGTTGTGTGGGCAACGAGTAGGGTCGAGGCACGAAGTAGAAAATGGTAGCGAGAACCTCAGGTGGTAGACGATTGATGGGACGACACCCATTCAACAAGCCATGTAGGACGTGTGCAGCTTTGTCGGTAAGTTCGCTAAGCTTTTCTAGCTTACATGCATAGACGTCAGCTTTCGCCAAGAGCTCTTATCGCAACAGCCGATAGACGTACCACTTCCACGTCGGTGCTACTGCAAGGCAGATAGATGTAGTCAGCGCACAGGTTGCGTGACTGGTCTGCTTGGGCCTACCTCTCTCCCATCCTTCTCGATCTCTTCAGCCCGTGGATATGCTCGTGGAATGCCCGAGCTAGATTCAATGTGGCAACACTTTGACGCACCGTCCCGCTAGGTTTTGGAGGCATGATGGTGATCTGCGGTAGGGAGCAGGGTCAGCGCTTCCGGTACGTAGCCCCTTGAGGAGGAGTTTCAAATGATTCACCTGTAATGACAATGTCGCTGTGCTGAGAATACGGAGTTTGTGTTAGACTGGGCCTCGAGTATAAAATCCATCCGAGTCGTTGAACCTTCCAAGGGCGCCACGCTGCGGTCACAACGTCGCAGGAGGGCGTAGAGAGCGCCCGTTGTTTCGCACCCGCGCTGCGCGTTCGAATCGGCTTGCTCACAGTTTCATATGGCGTCCCGATCGTAGCTTGAGTTTTTGTATGGATTGACAAGTGATCATTCGGAAGGTCGTTGAGTTATATGGGATGCAACAAACCGATCACTACAGCTACACTAATAGCGGCTTGGGAACTAATATTAATTGGTGAACGAAGAACCGAGACGGTATGCTCCGCCCCAAAACGATCACGTGCCCAATCACAGGGGAGCGCGTCGTGTATCTGATCGCGAGTCGCGACGAACTCAACCGCTGCTCCGCTGTGCGCCCTCTGAAGGCTCAATCCAGAGTACCTCATCTCTAGACAACCAGTCTTTGCGTCCTATCTCGGCTGAATACAGACATCGAGCTCAAACATGCCTTCTACTGCAATGGACATAGACAGCTCCGGAAAGCTCGACGCCGCACGCGCCCTTCAGGCTAAAGTCGAGGCCGCCAAGCTGAACATCGTTGAGGACCAGACCCGCTTTGATACCCTCCAGAGTGCATTAGCAAAGGATCCCGGACTCGTGTCTGAAGGAGTGGCGGGTACGACGGACCCTGCCGTGGTCGCAGCCGAAGTCGCATCGCAGATCGTACGTCTCGTCTCCACGCTAGCTTTAGTCTGCACATACTCAACCGCAGAATGCTTGATAGTCTTTTCTGAGGAACCTCAAGTTCCAGTACCTGGAGCAGAAGGCTAAGGACCAGTACGTGAAGACTATCGTCAGCGACGAGGCACCGAACATCAATGCGGACGACAACGAGCTTCTCCGGATCGAGAACGACAAGAAGAAGGAGGTTCTCGCAGCCGCGAAGGCGCGACTCGCAGAGAAGTACAGCGACGTCCGCACACTCGCGCCCCTCGTCGAGCAAGGTGGGTACCATTGCCCAAAACTCTGGTCGCCTGTATGGCGTAACCAGCCCATTCGTGCCACCCTGCTTGTCTACTCCCGTCTCGCCTTGTTTTAGTTTTCTAACCCTGCTCCTGGTGTTTCACAGACTACAATAAAGCACGGGTCCTCACCCAAGAGGCCTCCGCCCTCGCCAGCAAGATACTCGACGCCCGCCTTACCCTGACTCGTCTCCGTCAAGCCCACCCGCACCCGCGCCTGACCATCCCCGCCGCAAACGCCAAGCTTGATGAGCAGATCGAGGAGATGCAAGCGTTGGGAGACGAGCTGGAGCAGGTGAACGCGCAGGTTGAGGAGGTTAAGGAGAAGGTCAAGGCCGGGGCGCGTGAGGTCGAGCGACTGCGCGTCGAGCGGGCGGACCTCGAGAAAACGGTCAGTGCGGGGCAGAAGGAGGTCCAGGACGGGAGGGTCGTGGGGCTGTATGACTGGTGCGTCTGTCTTGTCTGCCGTTCGGTGCGTGATGGTCAACGGTTCCGTTCCTCGTTCCGCAGGTATACGGCTGCGCTCGCATTACATCGCTCGCTCTTGTCTCTCGAGTCTGCCCACTCGGAATCGGAGAATGAGCTCCACCTGACTTACAACATCACACCCCGGGGCTCGACGGACAGTCGACAGGTATTCATCAAACTCTTGTTCGTGCCTAATTCAAGGCAGCTAGCGGACGCACAGGTTGAGGGATTGATATTGGACGTAGGGGATGTCATAGGTGCGCATGTACAGGCGAACGATGTGCCCCGACTAATCGCGGCCGTTCTCTCCCGCGCACGAGCTGGCGGGTAACCTGACTCCACGTCTTTCGTTTTGAAACCTACCTGTATCGATACCCCCCTCACATGCTTGTAATATAATATATTGCAAATCGCTGTACTGCGCGAGCACACTGGTACTAGTTCCCTCATGTTCCAGTTGGGACCGTACCGTCTCAGGCCCCGTACAACACGCAGTGTGCTGCTATTACCCATGCGAGAATTGAAATTGTGAATTGACAATTCGTATGTACAAAACGTGATACAACAGATGCGCGAAAGGGGAAGATGTGGGGCGAACAAGAACCATGACAAGCTTCAAGCGTACCGAAGCCAGCACTTCTCAAGAGTCACCTATCCAGCCGTCGATTAGACAGCGGATGCTATTGATGTTGGCGCTTCACCAGAACCGATGCAGGGTGGATGCGTAGAGCACTGATCGGGCAGAAAGACGCCATGAAGAGCGGGTGGTAGATGGGCATGATAACGCAGACCGAGAACTACGAGTATAGAGCCATAGCATTGAACGAGACATAATGCATAATGACCCGCGAGTTTGACGACAAACGAAACACGGCACGAAGAAACAATCCTCAGATTTATATACTCATTCAAGCGCCCTGCAACAACAAGGACAAAGTCACATGTGGCACATGGTGGGCAACTAAAGGGAAATACAGTACAGCTGATGTAAAAACCAGCGTCGCAGTCCCCGCGCCCGGGGATGTGCTCGGATCACCGGAAAACCCCGGCCGAGCCCCAGCTATACCACACCGAGGACATTGCCCGACTCTGGTCCACTGCTGGAAGCACCCGCACACAGCGGGGATCTGCATGGGAAGCATTCCATGCAGAATATTGTGTGTCCTGTAGCTCTGAAACCACGTAGAATGAGGCGGGGCACACTTCGCGCAGTCACGGCGAACTTGTCCCCCGACTGGGAGGTGGCCGGAGCGCTGGCTTGAGGGGCTCGGCAGGGGGCTGCCGCTGATCCGAGCACAGGGAGGCCTGGGGGAAACGCGACGCTGGTTTTTACATCAGCTGTAAGCGGAAGTTACCGAGCCGTATGCGCGACGCGTCTCCTCTCATTCCCGCCGTCCTTCAAAGTTCAAACCAGATACCCAACCTCCCGTTCTCCCGCAATTAGCTTACCACCTCTCGCAATGCCTGACAGGAAGATTCGTGGCGCATTTATTGTCGTTGAGGGCCTCGACAGGTCCGGCAAGAGCACTCAAGTCGCGCTTCTCGAGGAACGCCTGAAGGCTGAAGGAGTACCCGTGAGACTGGTCAAGTTCCCTGGTGAGTAAGTGCTAATACACAATACCAATGCGTTCTCGTCTGACTGTATGCTCGTTTGCGTAGATCGTACTACACCAATCGGTAAACTGATCGACTCGTACTTGCGCTCGGGGTCCGAGATGGATGACCGCGCGATTCACCTTCTCTTCTCTGCGAACCGCTGGGAGCTTGCGTAAGTTCAATACCCGATAGAATTGTGGGATACCGCATTAATCGAGTCCCGCGCCTTGGATTGCTCTTGCAGCAAATCTATGCAGGACTCTCTCGAGTCTGGCACGACAGTAGTCTGTGATCGTTACGCCTTCTCTGGGATCGCCTTCTCCGCTGCCAAGAACGCCCCCGGGATGTCCTACGAATGGTGTCGTGGCCCTGACATTGCACTGCCCGCCCCCGACGTCACGCTCTTCCTTGCCGTATCGCCAGAACAGCAGCATACAAGGGGAGGATTCGGGGAGGAGCGCTACGAAAAGTCGGATTTCCAGGAGCGTGTCGAGCATGTCTTCGAGCGCATCGGGGTGGAGATGGGCGATGGGTCGCGGTGGTTTGCGGTCGATGCGGACCAAGGGAAGGAGGAGGTCGCGCAGGAGGTGTGGCGGCTCGTGCAGCCTTTGGCAAAGGGAACCGATAGGCCGCTTGCGAGGCTTTGGGCAGATTTGGACGAGCGGGTGAGGAATGCGCATTTATATATTTGATCGATGTCTTTGTAGAAGCACGAGGGTACGAGACGGAACAGCAGATATCATGACCAATGTACAATGATCTACAGCAATACATGTGCAATACTAAATGCAGGAATGCGAGGACGAGCATGGGACAGCTACCTTCGATAACCGCGACCGCCCGTCACATCCTTCGCCTTCAACGCACGTTTGCGCTCGCGCTCCTCTTCCTTGGCCCGCGCACCCCGCTGCCTCGGGTCGATGACCTCGTACTCTCGTTCCGCCTTCGCTGTCTCCTCCTCATTCCCCTTCGGGAAATGCAGTAAGTGTCCAAGGAAGCCCACGTCGTTGTCTACCTCCATCCCTTCCTCTCCTTCCCCGACTCTTGGCTCACTTTCGGCGCCCTCGCCGCCCACCTGCTCTTGAGGCGGCGAATCCTCTACGGTCGCGCTCTTGATCTTCGAGCGAAAACTGTTAAGCGCGGCGAGGACGTCGCCTTCGTCCTTGCGGCCTTTGCCTTTCTTCTTCAGGCCCCGTCCCTTCTCGTATTTGGCCATCTCCTCCTCGAGGTACGACTTCTTCGGCTTTTTCTTGGAACGCTCAGCATCAGAATCGTCGCTGCCCTCGCCGGGGCGACGAGTGAGCTTGCGGATCTCAGCCTCCATGCGCTCAATCTCGGACTTGTGCGAGTTGCTAGCGGCAGCCTTCTCGCGCTCATGCTGCTCGCGGATCTTGATGATGTCGCTCTCATCCTTGTCTCGCTTCGACTGCTTCTTCTCAACCTAATGAGTGCGATGAGCATGAGCCAGTATGATATATGCGCAACGTGGAATACTCACGGGTAGGGCGTCCTGCTCTGCACGATCTCGTTTTGACGAGTTCTTGGTCGCTAGGGGATTGGGTACTGCGGGTATTGCGGCAGGAAGCTCGGGATTGTCAATAACTGTATCATCGTACATGAGCGAATCGCGCCGCGTGAGTGTACGTTCATCGTTGCTCACGATCTGGTCGCACAATCGGTTTCTTCTTGAAGACCACAGGCCCCTCTTCCGCTTCCTCCTCCCCACCAAAACTTAGCAGCTTCACGTCCCTAATATATGCATATGGTCAGCCACTGCCCAAGGCGCAATGTTCTGACCTGACGCGCTTTTTAGCCCCACGGCGCCTTTGTTCCTCCTCGCGTTCACGCTGCGCTTGCTCTCGAGCACGTTGTTGGGCGCGCTTCTCCTCAGCCGTTATGCGTGGGACGATGTCCTCGAACGGGCTGTCCACTATGCGTACGCGCTTGATCTTGGGCGGACTATGTCCACGGGCTGTCAACGTGCGGACAAGAACTAGAAGAGGAAGGGAATACGCACTATAGCGGTCGTTCGTTGTCGTCAAGCTCTAGGGAGAACCACCTAAGCTTCCTCGAAATATGAAGAAAGAGATTGGGTGAGCGTACCCATCTCGCCAATCTTCAAGACATCTATACAAGGTATTCATGAGGTCGTCACGGATGCGCGGAGTGGACAGTGGGGCTTACTGAAGAACGTGTCTCCTACTACGCGTCCAAAGAGGGTGTGCTTGCCGTTCAACTCGTCCGCACGATCTGAGAGTAATAAGGTAGGCATATACTAAGGATAGGACCTGCATATAGATACAGGACTCACTTAGGGTGATGAAGAATTGCGAGTCATTCGAGTTCTTCGTGCCATTGTTCGCCATTCCGACTAGGCCGCGGTGGACGAAACGCAACCGCGGGTGAATCTCATCCTCGAATGGCTCTGTAATAGAACAGTGAGCTGAATGACCGTAGTGACACAGAAACGGCACGCACCTCCGAAAAATGACTCCCCTCCGCCTCCCGTACCTGTCCGGTCTCCTGTCTGGACCAAAAAGTCCGGGACAACACTATGGCGGACATGTGTTCAGTCTCTCTGCGCTTGCGCGTTCTGACGTCAGGGTACACACCGATGGAATATAACACCATCGTAGTAGCCTGAACATGTTTCTAAGCAAGATGATATGTGAATGACAAGAGCGTGACGCGCCTTCCATGGCCAGAGCAATGAAGTTCCGACATGCTTTGGGGGTCTCCTGCGCGCGCGTGAGCAGACGCGACTGTCAACAGACTGCTCGATGCGTACTTTCGACCAAAGCTCAATGTCAATCTCCCCCACAGTCGTTTCCAGTATAACACGTCCCTTGGTGGGTAGGGCCATTGTAGTGAGGCCAGAGGAGGATAAGTGTGGTGGTGGAGGCCAAGGTCACTGCTACGGCGCGCGCCTGAACCCTGAACGCATGCGGCACCTGTAGCGCGCACTGCAACTCCTTGCATATCTACTCCTACGCCACTAGAAGCGGTTTTCATATTTGCTTGTAAAAATGTCGGAGTCCAGCTCAAGTACAGCCCCAAGACGTCACAAGCCTTTATACAGGGATCATAACGGCTTCACGGAATCGGTCGAGCTCGTGATGTCGGGGACAGCGGCAGGGCCATCCTTGCCAATCAACCTGCATGCCATTGCCGCAAAAAAAGACACCGCGACCAGGGAAGAGCGACGTGCGCTTCATGACGCGGTGCAAAGGAGGCAGTTTGTCGAGGATATGATGGAGCTGAAGGGGACTTTCTTTCCTGGGTGAGTTTGTCGCGTTTCGATCACATCTTCACGCCCAGTCTAAAGCAAAGGCTCGCAGACTCGACGCTCTACGAAAAGCAAACGAGGCCCCGGAGTCATCCGTGGACCTGAAGGAGCGCATACAGGAGGTTAAAAAGAAACATCTGGAAGAAGTTCGCACTTTGTACGAGTGGCAGGCCCAAGATTATTTCGATGAAGCGCTAGATATGTCACGGTCCAAACCTGACGTTGACCTTCCGGACGTGGAGGTATCCTTGGCAATACGGTTTCAAGCGCATCCTCCGAGCTCACCGGACGTACAGGAATTCTATCGGTTGTCCCGGTCTAGTCATGAAATCGCTGCTTCCTTCGATGATCAGCTGGACAGGCACCATTACGCGCACCTCACTGGGTTATACCCAATGATGAAGCAGTACAACAGACTGCGGGGAGTCGAGGAAGAAAGACAAAAACAGCGCGACAAGCAATTTCCATCAAGCATTGCAGAATTCCGAGCCACCCGCAACAAGGACGTCCAGGTGAGCTGCTGCGCTTGCGACGGCCGTGGTATGCACTGAATAGGTGCTTTAGCTACGATTTGCACGATTTTTGACTTCAGGCGATACCGCGCGCGAGCGCATGAACCATGAATATGGCTGGGCATGGCGCCAGGTCATGCCTCTGATTAACGATTACAATCAAAATGTACGTAACGTGCTATACCTATGTGCTAGCTCTGCTGCAGTTTCAGTATGAATCACGCCTTCATACGCTTTCTGCAGGAGGAATTCCAGAAAGAAATCCAAGCACTTCTTCAATCTCTTTCGAAGGAGGTGGAGAGTCGGGATCCTCGCAAATCAAGGCTGACGGCGACAGCCGCCACTTGACAGAAGAATCCACACATGTTCAGGTGATCATCCGCTAGAGTTGCATGTTCCTTGCGCGTGATTACAGATTTGGTTAGTATCGCCAGCGACATAGACATTATAATGAGGTCTATCATCAGTTGCTACACCGGCAGAGCTGCCAGCGGCGATCGAGCAGTGTAGCTGATTGGTTCCATCAGGAACTTGAGCTTGTGATCGACGCTACGTCTCATGCAAGCAGATGTGGTGCGCTCGGGAAGAGTAAGGGGGGGCTCCATTATGCCCAAGCACACAATATAGAACATCGCGTCCGAGTACGCGTCCCTCAGAACCTCCGGCTTTGGCCATGTGCTCTCGAGTAGGCATTAGAGAGCCTTACGACACGAACATAACGTCGCTACGGTGGACGAGCCACCGTCCATGTCTGGGCGGTATTCAGGATGCGTTCCGTGGTATAAAGACCCGACGTTGGATTGCTGACATATATATGAAAGAAATGTGTCAAGGCTATCTGAGAACGAGAGAGCTTCGAAGCTATGTAAACGTACCGCTCAGTGGTCCATCTAGGCTGATGCAAGAAAATCGTCGGACGTTGTCGGCTATTGGACAAAGTGAGTCACTGAACGCTCTTTCGGCAGGACGTACACCCACACCAAACCCATGACATGCCGCCGCGTCCTCATTCAGTGTGTATGACGTACGCAGACGAGGCGCCGTTGAGACGGCCTCCGAGGCTTACCGCAGCATTGCTCAGCACTGGAAGTCGACCCTGCACATATCGTCAGATCTTCGTAGTACGCTCAGCCTTCTGCACGGTAAGGCGCCGAGATACTAGGAGCCAATGGCAGATCTCAGAGCGGAAAAGGGTCAATATGGCGAAGCTGAGTGGTGAACAATGTTCCCTATAGAGTCTGTCTGGTTGGAGCCCACATCGTTCGGCCGCTGTCCGGTTGTTCAATGCACGTCGAAGTTTACTAGACTAATTGCGGTACTCTCTCGTATATGTATCGCCGAGCAAACTCTGCGGCCCGGTTAAGTCATCGGCGTCCCTTCTCCAACATATGTGACGGCCACCTTGGGGTTGGGGTTGAACGCCTAGCATTGCATGGTCACTCCGTCGTACGGGCCTGGGTGCTGAGTAGCATTGGAGTTCAAAAAGTTAACAGCGCCAGTGCTGCACTGATCACTGGGGTTATCCTGGCCTAATGAAACCCACGATCAATGAACCGCAGGGATAACAAAGGGACAAGAATGTATGGACATACCCGGGCAAGAGACCCAAATATCGTCGTCGCGGATACGGACTTCGCCGCTGGCATGGTGGTACCCGAAGACCTCGATAGGAGGGAGGACTGGTACAGGATCTTCTTTGTTGTTGATGCGAGTCGTGGATATGTGCAATGAATCGACGTAATTGGCCCAAGCTTGGTTACCAACCTGGAGAAGTTCAACGTGAGCTCCAGTCACGCGCGCATTTCACAAAAAGTATATCATTACCCGAGGCGATGCATATCCGATGTAGCGAACGTTCACGTCCGAAGGCAGATGAAGAGGCAGGTACACAGCATGCAGAAGTGCAGTAGCGGCACCTGTACCAAGAGGTAAGTGAGGACACAGGACTGCAATCACTGCAAGTGAGAACTCGCCAAGTGAATGTCCGACAACAGTAACGTTCTCAGTAGGGTAGAGAGATAGCGCCTCCTTCACAGCTGCTATTACTCCAGGAGCCGACCTGCAGTAAGGCATTGAGCACTGTCACATGTCACAGCCAAGGGGGAACGTGCCTGTTTTGGGTTGCGGCGAAGCCCGCGTGAACCAGAACATTTGGGTCGACACCGGGAAAAAGTTCAGCGTCCAATGGTACAAGGATGACTTCAAGATCAATTATAAAGGGAAGGTCGCTGCACCATATGTCAGTATTGCTCGATGATTTAGTAGAAGAAAGAGCATGAACATGAAGTTCATCTCATGTTTGTCCGTACCCTGGTGATAAGCCAACGATGACCTCGTTGAGGGTGGGATCATACCCGACATACCCTACAAGGAACACGACGGTTGGCAAACAAAGTACGTCTTCATAACAGACTGCCTACAGTTCTGAGTCTCATTGACGACTCCTCCAGATTCGACCGGCTTGAAGGTAGGATTAGCGTTGCAGTTTTCACCGCAGTTCCAGGCCTTGGTGGATGAGGGTTCGCAGTACGCAGTGCTCGCGTACCACGTATACGGCTTGAATGCGGCTATTTCCGCCGAAGGTAGGGGCGTAACGGCATCCTGGCGGGCTGTCAGGGTACGTGGGGCAGGGACGGCTCGCACGCCGATTGAAATGACGGAAAGGGCTGCTAAGAAAGTGAACCAACAGCTGGTGGCCATGCTGTTCGGGGGAGCTTGCTTGATCAGTCTTGCCATCGTGAGCTTGCTTTTAAACGTCTGACTTTGGGGCATATCTGACGATATACGGTGCAGTGACGATATGGATCTGAGTAATGCAACGATGAGGGCTGTCATGAGGTACGAGAACCTGTCCAACACCAAGCATTTCTTGGCCAGCTATGGACTGTCTGACGTTGTGCTCTTCGGCAGCCTTCACAGAGAGCGTCCATATTGTCATTTGCAGACAGAGGGAACGATGCATCCGGCGGAAGCGAGATTGTTTTCGTTCTAGAAACTTAGTGACTCATGTGCAGGACACGCACACCTTCGAGTCAATGCGGAAGGTCGTCTTGTGTAACTCTGCAGAGTATCCGCCGCAAGAGCAGAGAGGTCATCAAGGCTATAGCTATCTGAAAGACGTCGATCCCCTCGCCGAATCGCTGTCGACAGTCGCATCGTGGTTCCAGAGTCGCCAGCCGTTAGCGTGCCGAGATTCTACGTAACGCCGACTGCGTCACATGCAATGGAGATGGACACAAGAAAGTCGGCCGAAGTATCAGAAGCAGCAATGAGCCATGGAAGCACAAAGGTCGACTTGGGCACGGGCGTCGTCGGAGTCCAGTGCCGCTTCCGTATTACAGCGCTTTTCAAATCACTTGTCGTTTGGGCGCCGACAAATGCGCGCGCCACACCTGCGTCCGACACCCCATCAGCAAAACTGCATTTTGATTGGCTTGCAGCACGTTCAAAGCCATTCAAGAATATGTCGTCCAAGTTGACCATCCGATTGTTACAAGCATGCTAAGTTCTCTCTGATTCCACTGCTATCCAATAGGGATAGCATATTATATCCAAAGCGAATCAGGCCAATCGAAGCCAATTGACACAATCGCTTGCCTCGAAAAGCTTCGATTTTCGAGACTCTCTTCAAGCATGCTTGAATGGGTCAGAAGTTTGCTGGATTGCACGAATAAGGCGCGTTATGTAATCACACACTATGGCGATTCCGCTCAATTTTGGCACGTGATTGAGAGGATGATATTGCGAGGATACGACATAATCTAAACAAGGTACGGAATGGTACGACGTGCATGGAGTATACTACAATAGCTACATACTACAATGTTGTAGGGAACCGGATAGACTCACTGAAGGATGGACACTTGCACTCACCGATGGATGGGATGCGGAGACTCGGACCTACTACTGGCGAGACACACAAAGACTTACGGACTATAGCTTATCGCGCAATGCCCAAGCCATGTACGTACCTTCATACTTCAGCGCATATATGCGGTGACCATGTCCGAAACAGGCGTGCTTACCTTGTTGTCCGAGTGCTCATGGATACTGTGACTAGTTGCCTTGGCAGGCGGGTGCGGTATGGGCAGGGAAAGGACGCCTCATGGGCCCAGTCACAGCTGTTGAACCCGGGGGGCGAAGACCTCTCCCACGGGTGGCAACGACAGCGGATAGCCTGCAACTCACCTAGAAGGGTTGTTGGTTGTAAGAGGCTTGTTAGAGCGATGAGAGGAGATGTTCGAGTGAACTGAACTGTAGATTGGGGTACAGAGGTCCCTATATATACTACTGTACATCTGTGGCTACGTAGTACTATACAGTACATTCCCAGGATGCACAGTCGCACAGAGAA